GGGCAGACCCCTTTGGCACCCGTGCTCCTCTTGCTCCTAAGCACATGCACCATTAGTGAGATGGGGCAAGTGTCCCATTTTCTCCTTTGTTCTCATGGTAGCTGGCATCCCTTCTCCCCCACTTGGCATTGTGGAGTACACAAAGTGTGTGTGTGGTAGGAAGGAAAGTGGATTTGTTGACGCAGCTCTGGGCACTTTTAACAGAATGGATTGGAACCATCTTCTAAAAGAACTCTTAAGATTTAAGAATGGTGGATTGAAATTTTTCACTGAGTGAGCATAGCACCAGTTTGAATTTGTCATCTATCTGGGCATGTTTGGCAAGGGAGAGAAAGAGGCATGTTCATGCAGAGCTGTGGTGCTGCTGATGGTGTGTGTTCCGCGGGGGTGGGAGGGTGGGGGGGAGTCAGGCCTTCCTGAGGTCCTGCCTTCCGCCCTCTGCTGCTTGGCAGGGCCGTTGGAAAGGAGTGTTGGGAAATGAGGCCTGGAGTCCTTTTGGAATGTGGTGGAAAGACAGTCATCTGGCTTGGAAAATACATGATCTTTGTTTAATTTTTAAAAAATAAGAGATGAAGGGAAATGGAAGGGAGTTAGGATCAGGAAGGACAGTGGAATCAATTTGATAACTTTCCTGTGTACATATATGAATCCACCACAGTGGATCACCATCATTTATATCCACAAGACTAGGATCCTAGTTAGAATAAGATATAAGATATCAAGCAAGACCCTTCAGGCTTGTATAAATGTATCAAAATAGATTCTACTGTCTTGTGTAACTAAAAAGAACAAATAAAAATAATGCAACTGAAAAAAGTGATGATTTTAGTGAAATTTTATCTTAGTTGAATATATGTGTTATCCAGAATTGTCTATTGCTCAAAAAAGGTTGACATTAGTTAAGTTGTTTCTTAGAAAAAATCTATACCAACTTGTATAGGGAATGTTAAAAAAGAAAAAAAAAAAATCTATACCAAATTCCTTGTAATTTTTCAAACATGAAATGGTTCTCCTCTACTCTATCTTGGACTTTCTCTGTTTAGAATGTTTTCCTCCTGCCCTCTGTCCTGCTTGGCAAGCTCTAGTGTATCTTCCAAGAATTGTCTTGACTTGGAAACCTTCTCTAACTCAGTATTCATTTTAATTCCTCTGTTGGCTTTCTAGTTATACTTCTTGCATGTTTTAGAGATTAGTCCTAAGATTGCAATCTGCATCTCTAATTCATTAAAATTAACATGTACTTTGAATAAGCTGCAGGGACCTTACTGCAAATGGTGTCTTCCCTCTGTGCTACACAGGGCTTCCTTCCTTCTTTAAGGCATGTGTGCTCAGAGTTTTTTTAGTGGTGATGATAGTTTTTTAATTGCTTGTTTCTGAATTTCTCTTTGTAACCTGGGGCAGATGTTTGATTGAGGCTGGGTAAGACTTACAGGTACATTCTGTAGCAGTGGTGATCAAAGCCTGTGGACTCCATAGGGGTGAGGTCCATAGTCTTAGTCAGCTTGACGTAGGACAGGAAGGATGTCAAGCCAGGGTGATTCTGTGGATGTTGGCAGGGGCAATGTATTGGGAAGTAGAAGTAGACCTTTGATACCAGGGTCTGTGCCAGAGTGGAACGCTCCTGTATAGAAGAGTGGTCAACCATGATTGACAGACTGTGACAAAAAGGTTGAAGCAAAGCACGATTCTGTTACATCTAGGAGTGTGTTTCTCAAATGTAGTTGAGCAGTTCACATTTGAATTTAATGGGGTATTTATTAAAAATAAATGCTCAGGGCCTCACTGTGAAGCCACACAATCAGTGTGTGGGTCTCAGAATCTGCATTTAAACACAGTGATGCTGACAGTGGTTGCTGGAGGCGGCTTTCCCACTGCCACCCCCCCCCCCCCCCCCGGCTTATGACCAGAATCAGTGTTATTAATGTTTGCCTTTAACACATGTGAGACTCTGATGAAACAGTTTGGTCATAGTCATAGAATTCTAGAGCCTGCATAAAGGTGCCTTTGAAGTCATGCTGGCTCCACAGTCTTAGGTACAAAGGAGGAAACTTACCTGAATGAGTGTTTCTGAGTGGCCTTTACAACTCTGATTCATAATGCTGGCTGGTACTTTGCTGTGAGTTGCAGATCAGAAGCTGTGTAAAATTTACCGTAAGTAATGGTGAACACGGTTAGGGGTTATTCATAACCCAGTGTGACAATCACTGTTTTTTCATTGGGGTATTTAGACCATTTGCACTTAACGTACTTAATGCTAAGGTTGGGCTTAAATCTCTCATCTTGCTCCCCTGTTTGTCCCTCTCTTGCTTCTCTCCTTTATCCTTTTTTTCTTTTGGGTTGAGTTTTTACAGTCATTATTGACTGGTTAGCTGTTGTCTTTGTTGATTTTGTTTGGAGTTTGTGACTGGCGCGGGTCCTTAACTTGCCCGTCTGCCTTCCCGGGGCGCTGCTCTTCACAGAGGCGAATGGCGCTCTGCTTCACCCCCCTGCTGCCCTTCCCCTGCTGGAGCTGCTTTACCTCCACTGGCCTTGACCTCCACAGGGCACTTCTATCTGTTTACTTGACAGTACATATTTTTGCCTTAAACACTTATCTTAATTTAAGAGATTTCAAAAATAAAGAAGCTTTTTATTTACCCACATATTAACCATTTCTGATACTCTTTGTTTCTTTAAGTAGATCCAGATTTCCTTGTGATATTATTTTCCTTTTGCTTAAAGAATTTAAATGTGTCTAATGGTGTATGTCTGTCATTGAGGACATCAGCTTTTGCATGTCTGAGAAGAGTCAGTTTTGTATTTGAAAGGTTTCTGTTTGTTGGGTATAGAATGGGGAAGTTGGTATTGTCTAGTTGGTATCAGGGATTGAACCCAGAGGTGCTTAACCACTGAGCCACATCCCCAGCCTTTTTTCATATTTTATTTAGAGGCAGGGTCTCACTAAGTTGCTTAGGGCCTTGCTAAGTTGCTGAGGCTGGCTCTGAACTCCGTGCTGCTCCTGCCCCAGCCTCCCTAGCCGCTGGGATTACAGGTGTGTGCCACTGCACCTGGCCTGTTGTCTGTTGCTCTGCCATCTGGCTTATTAATAAGTAAATTGTCATTCTTTGTTCTATAAATAAAGTGAGTTTTTCCCTGGTTGATTAAAAGTATCAAAAACTATTTTCTTATAGCTATTTTTTTTTTTTTAAAACCATTTAAAGTGTTAGGGTCAATTTGGTCCTAGATGATCCACCTTAGTCAGAAGTAGAAGAGCATGTTTGGGTGTTTCTTTAAATATAAAAGCTGTCTTCATTTTAGCAAACTGGAATAGTTGGAAGTGCTGCCTTTTATAGTGGCTTTCTGATGGCATTCTTTTGGGGGTGGAATAGTTCTTTTAGTGCACTGCTCAGAGTACAGTGCCACAAGATGGGCCCATCCCATGGACTCACTCACATTTTAAAGAGGCCTTTTTTGGGCCATACTGGGGATTGAACCAATGGGCCGCACTCCATCACTGAGGGTGTGCCCAGTTGGAGCAGTGACAGTGGGGTCTAATTGGGACATGAGAAGCCTTTTTTATTCCTCATGTGGCAGCATTGTGGTGCTTCTCATGTTGTGGTGTTTTTGCTTTCCTGAGCAAAGACCTGGAGCAAAGATAAAATCTGGTTGTGAGTGATGAACAGATTGGTTGCAGAAAAGCTTAAGTGTTTCTTTGTGCCAGGAAATATTCTTGGAGATAAAGCAGTGAATAAGGTGAAAATTCCTGTCCTCCTGGAGCCCATATCTAGCTCTGCAGAGACAAATGGAAAGTTAAGGCAAGCTAGCAAATCGGAGGTGGTGACAGGCAGGAATGGAGGGTGTTAATCACCGTGGAGGGGGATGTCTGGGAGTGCTTATGCTTCGGGCAGGGCCTGACCTCCTGGTGTTGGGAGCTCTTACTGGAGTCTCGAGCTTCCACCTCCTCCAGCCTCACGATTCTCCCATCAGTTATATTCCCTTTTCCCCAGCACTTGGATTTATATTTATTTGTTGACTATTTACTTTTATCATATAAGCATGTTTCAAATCTTTCTCTTTTTAAAATATTAGAAACTAAACAAAATAAAAAGTAATCTTCGTCGAGCCTTGGGTGTCCTGGCTAATTGTTCTATAGCTACATTTCCGCAGGGCACCTTTTGAGCTGGTTGTCTTCCTCTGTATATTGTTTTTCTCAGCCATGACTGTGGTCTGGCCCCTCCACTTTGATAGCACAAGAATCACACCTGATAGGTGACAGTACCACATTCAATGGGCAGGTGCCAGTTAGTCGTGCCTTCAGATTCTGTCTGCCTGGTATCTTTGAAGCCCTTACCTTCTGCTAGTTTCATCCATTCTCTTCTGGTTCTCCCTCCTCTTCTGGCAGTGTAAGCAGTTTCTGGCCTTGCAGTCAGTACCTGCCTTCTTTGTGATGCATTTTAAAGTAGGTTGTCTTCTCAGTGGCACATCAGTGCTTGAGGGCAGAAGCTATGGTGTTTCCATAGTCATTTCCTCAGCGTAAACCTGGTCCTGGGCATAGGCTGTTCAGTGAGCACTTGTTTAGTGACTGTAAGTACACTGCTGGTTTTAGCTTACCTCTAGTGAGCGAAGTCCTTAGCTGTACCTTTGGCGTTGTGGAATCCACCATATCCCGTTTGACTGTGTGTGTATTACTTCCAAGTACACATGTTCCCATCGAGCATGTAAGTCCTTACACCTGTGGTCCCTGTTCCCTCCCGTGATCTGTAGCTGTTGGCCTTGTGCTCCCTGTGGCTGCGGTAGTGAGACGGCATCTGGAGAAAGAAGGGGCACCCTTCAGCTCCTGGTGCTGCTGGCTTGATGCCGAGGGTCCCTTGGGATCCTCCTCACCACTCCAGCGGTGTGCGTGCTGCACACAGGTGAGGGGTGCTTGTGGTTTCCGAGTGTGTAAGGAGTATTTCTGATGTCTCTGATAGTTGGTGTGGATGACTACAGCTCAGAGTCTGATGTGATTATTATACCTTCAGCCCTGGACTTTGTCTCACAAGATGAGATGTTGACGCCACTGGGGAGACTGGACAAGTATGCTGCAAGTGAGAACGTGTTCAACAGGTGTGTGCACCTTCTTTCCATTAACCTGGAAGTGGAGGGGGGGGTTGTCTCAGCAGGGAGGACAGCACACCCAGCCTGCAGTATAATGTGCACAGTCCGAGCCACCAGGCTGCAGCCATCACATTGTCCTGACCTGTGCTGTAGGTGTTACTCTTGATCCTGGGACACACACAGTGCTCTTGCTTTGCTTTTTGCCAAGACCAAACCGTCTTGCCACTGGCATGCTCTGGAATCCTGCAGGTTGCTTACTGGGAGTCAGCGTCACCAGACCACGTAGCCTGCTCTGTGCCGGTTGGTACTCAGGGCACTGGCCCAGCCCTAACTGCCAGCAAGCACTCTTTCTTGCACTTGCTTTGTCCACCTGTGCTGTCCAGACCGCTTCGCCAAACTTTTCTGGGAAATGAAGAAGTCCTTGTCCAAATTTTTGAACATAGATGTATAAAATCCATGCTAGTAAAGATGTAATGAAGACTGAATATATTTTCTTATTGTTAGGATAATTGAAGGATAGCTGAAGTGAATTTTCAGTTGACTTTAGAAATTTGCCATTTTGTTAAAGATGAAAAATATTGGGAAATATTCAGTCTCATCTATGAAATCAATACTGGCATTTACCACTTAGGAAATTACAGGTTTCATATGTTTTAAAATGTAGTAAGAAAAAATTGCTTATTGAAACTATACGGGTTCTGTCTTTTAAGATTCTAAATAATAACTATTGATGCCTGAACACTATGTGCTTCTCTTTTTCTGTGTAGACAAATGGTGGCCCGGAGCCTGCTGGATACACTGAGGGAAGTGTGTGATGATGAAAGAGATTGCATTGCTGTCTTGGAAAGGATTAACAGATTAGCTGACGACTCAGGTATGTTTGTGTATGCAGAGGAAACAGACTTAGGTTATCTAGAAAGGTTTCTTTTACCAAATTTGTGTTTCTAAAACTAATGGAAAAGTTAAAGTGATATGAGATTTCTTTAGAAGATTTCCTAAGTAAATTATCAAACCCACCAGTAACAAGAAAAAAAAGTCCATTACTAAATTCATACTGGACCCATTTACTTAACTTTGGACATTTCTTATCAAAATAAGAAATTTTTTTTTTCAGGAGTGTGTCTCTCTTTTTTTTTTTTTTTTTTCTGAGAGAGAGAGAGAGAGAATTTTTTTAATATTTATTCTTTAGTTTTCAGCGGACACAACATCTTTATTTGTATGTGGTGCTGAAGATCGAACCCGGGCCGCATGCATGCCAGGCGAGCAGGCTACCACTTGAGCCACATCCGCAGCCCCAAGAATATTATTTTGCATCATGTCTTAAATATTTTTAAATTAATGAAATGTTAAAAAATAATTTAGAATAAATTAAAAGAGATAGAAGGTGCTGTAAAATTTTTGGGCAAATGTAAAATACCCTTTGTAAAACTAAGGCTGGTGTATTTTACGGTAAAGACAGGAGTTTGCACAAAAGGCGAATTTGATTCGAGCTTTAGAAAATAGTGATGCTGAAATTTTTCAAAATATGTTTTGTATTGTGATAAGATATACATAACATAAAGCTTACCATTTTAGTAAATACTTAGTTTTAAGTAGTTTTTATATTTGATATTTACAAACAATCCAAAAGTAAATTTTAAAACTTAAAAAAAACTATGCTATCAACATATGTTTTTAATTTCTGACAAACTTTTTTGATGTCTTAAAAGTCTCATCTTTTAATTTTTAGATGAGCTCTACTTAATGAGGATATGTTAACTATTTACATAAGTATTACATTTTAAAAATTGTCTTATTGGGTGGAAAGAACATTTTTAAGCTCATTAATAATCTGTGTATAGATTGTTCTTATGTGCTTGCCTTAGGGTGGTGTTAGGAGGCTCTCATTAAGTGTGATTTTTAGTTGTAATTTTCACTGAAATGAAATAGTTTTGAGACGGGTTGTGTTGGCTTTGATAGAAAGCTGAGATGCAGAGAGGGGAAGGTGTGCAGAGTTTTGAGAAGTGGAGGTGGTAGCCCCTGGTCCCCAAGGAGGAGCTTGCTAGTCTGCAGCCAGCAGGGGAGGCTGTTCAGAGGGAGTTGGAGCCCAGCTGGTGGAAGGGTGAAGGGCAGGGAGCACTAATTGGGTAAGTGGTCAGAAAAGATGTAGTGCTGGGAGTGTTTCCCGAGCTGCCTCCCTTAGTTTTGTGTGTGTGATTTTAGTTTTTAGTTTCTGGTTTGCGTAGGTGTTTTCCACATGGTTGAGGATGTAACACTCTCTGTAGTTCAGTGTGTTGCTTTCCCATGGGTTCTGACTGTTTGACTTTTTAGTCCTTTGTCTCCCATCTGCACTGTGACAACGTCTTTCAGCAGAGTCTCTTCCAATTGCTGTCCAATTGGAATGTTTCATTGCTGTTAATTCCATTTTCTCATTTTCAGGAGACTTGGTACTTCTTCTCAGGACCCTGTTTTTCTTGTCCTATTGATTACATTCTCTTTTCAGTTACACTTCCTTTCATCATGTTAGCCGAGTGTTTGAAATGGTGAAGGCCTCTGCAGGTTGCTTGTGTAGCTGCAGTGCTTGGTGCTACTATCCTTCTGTTGTGTCTTCATCGCTTTGCCATTGAGGGATCATTTCGTTTTTATAGTTTCTGATTGTGAGTTCATCATTAATGGGTCTTTGTAGGGATCTGGTGCTGTAGTTTGACCTTCATTGTGGCATTGTCACTTGTGGTTCAGAGCTGTGCTGCCAGGCCCAGGGTCCTTAGCAGCTAGGAATCACTCTGCACTGATTCTGTGGTGTTGTGTGTATGAGATAAGTATGTTTATTCTGGGTGGGAAGCAGCAGTTCTCATTCTGTGCCTGCATGTATGAATCTGGAATCCAGACCAGTCCAAAGCACATGCCCAGGGTTTCAGAAATAACACGTTTAGAGCAGATTTTTGTTGTTGTTGTTGTTTTCAATACCGAGAATAACACACTACCAAAAGAAAAAAACTGCTAGTACCCTAGAAACTGCCTCAGTGTATTTCTGTCTTGCCCACTTTCCTAAAGGTAGGCACCATCTGACCACTAAGGGCATTGATTATTTTGTGTCTGGCCTCTGTTTCTGAAACTCCTCCATGTTGCTGCTTGTGACTGTTGCGGATTTTTTTAACCAGTGGTGTGCTCTGCGAGTACACTGCAGCTAAGTGCCACTGTGGTTGGAGTGGGCGCGTGGGTTGCCTCCAGCATAGGTTAGTGCTGCTTTGAACACAGGCACACATCTCCGTGGGTACATAGAAACGGAGTCACTGGGTCATAAGACATGCGTAGCCTCACCCTGATGGAAGTGCCCTGGTGTTTTCCAGAGTGGCATAGCTGTCTACAGATGCCTGGGCATGTGTTCAGTCTGCGCCTGCAGCATCACCTGTTTGCGCAGAGCTCGGGTGTGTGAGGGCATGCTTTAACTTGCATTTCTTTAGTGACCTGTGAAGTTGAGTGCTGGTTATGTGCTTACTGGCTAGTTGGACACCTTGATTTTTGTAGTATAAAGTCTCTTCCCCTTTATTTAAATTGGCAGGATTTTTCTTATAGATTTTTTCCTTATAGATTTATAAAGTGAATTTTTTTTTTCTTCGGTGCTGGGGATGGAACCCAGAGCCTCATACATGTTAGGCAAGTGCTCTAACACAAGCCACAACCCCAGCCCTGAAATTCTTTATACCCATTAAGTATCCTTAGGCCATTTATGTGTCTTAGAGGTATCTTTTCTACTCTGGCTGACCTTTTACTCTTAAATGGTGCCTCTTAAAGAAGAGAAGTCCTAGGCTTGTGGAGGGAGCACTTGCCTCGCCTGCATGAGGCCTGGGGTTCAATCCAGGGTACTAGGGAAGAAAAAGTTCTTTTTTATGGGCTTTCTATTTATGTGCTCTTTGAGAAGTTTATCCTGATTCCAAAGTCATGAGAATATTTTCCTATGTTATCTAATACAGAAACTTTACCTTTTTTTTTTTGCCTTTGATACTTAGATTCATATTCCACATGTAATTTACTCTTTTTGACATGTTTATCATGTACAGTATTTATCATGTAAATACAGTGTTTATTTTTGTATATTTTAGGAAACAGAGAACAAACTTTGTTTTATTGTTGTTGGTTTGGGTACCAGATTGAACTCAGGGATGCTTAAACCCTGAGCCACATCAATCCCCAGCCCTTTTTAAAAATATTTTATTTTGAGTCAGGGTCTTTCCTAGTTGCTTAAAGCCTCACTAAGTTGCTGAGGCTGGCTTTGAATTTTCAATCCTCCTGCCTCAGCCTCCCAAGTCACTGGGATGACAGGTGTGTACCATTGCACTCAGCTGTAATGAAGTTTTTATAAAGTGAATTAGTTGATTTTTTAGTTAGTTCTTTGGTAGTGTTTGCTTCTCCATCTTAAGATTGTACATTTCTTCTAATATTATCTTTTAGTCCTTTGAGTTTTTTTCCCTCCCAAGTTTGAAACTTGTATTTCATCTGGAGTTTATGTGTAGTGTGCAGAAAGAGTAGGAATCTAACAGGCATAGTAGCGCATGCCTGTCATTCTGGTGGCTCAGGAGGCTAAGGCAGGAGGACCACAAGTTCAAGGCCAGCCTCAGCAATTTATTGAAGCCCTGAGCAACTTAGCAAGAAGACCATGTCTCAGAATAAAAAATACAAAGGTCTAGGGATGTGGCTCAGTGTTTGAACACCACTGGGTTCAATACCCAGTACTGAAAAAGAAAGGAATTGTTGTATGCTTGGTACGTGCTATGAAGTGTAGCACCTGGGTCTGGGTAGATCCCTCCTTCATTCTCGGTGGACCTGCTGGTGGTTGGAGGAGGACTGCAGGGTGAAAAGATGATTTTGTAAGTCCTTTCCTTGCTAAAGATGAAAGTGCAAAGACAGCTCACTTGTTCACCTTGCTGTTATTTCAACAGAACCAACAGTGCGAGCAGAGCTGATGGAACAGGTGCCTCATATTGCATTGTTTTGTCAAGAAAATCGCCCTTCCATACCATATGCTTTTTCCAAATACTTACTACCTATTGTGGTCAGATATCTTGCAGATCAGAATAATCAGGTAAGAGTTCCATTTATTTGATCTTAAAGGAATTTTATGTAGCTTAATGTATGTAGAATAGCCCAGCCTGGGTTTTCATTGGATTATTTTTCCTAATTTTATTATTTGTGTTTCAGAAATGTCCAGTTATCTTAGATAAGACATTGTTGAGAGTCAGACAAGTGCATTAGGTCTCTTGAATGCCCTTCTGCCTAGTACTTGTGCTCACTTGGTACCTTCCCAGGTGTTTGTCAGTGCACCTTTGTGACATCTTTACAAGGATGGCTTTTGTGTTCCACTGTTACAACATAGTCTATCACATCGTCTTTGTAATAGTTGAAGAAAATAGCTAAAAAAATTTTTTTGCGAGTATGTCTTCCTTTAAGTTTATGAGAAATCTTCACATTTGTAAACGTGGAGTGGTCAAGTTTTGTCACATCAGGCACATGTTTGTCTTTATGGTTTGCCCAGGTGAGGAAGACAAGCCAGGCAGCGCTGCTGGCTCTGCTGGAGCAGGAGCTGATCGAGAGATTTGATGTGGAGACCAGAGTATGCCCGGTGCTGATAGAGCTGACTGCCCCAGACAGCAATGACGATGTGAAGACGGAGGCCGTGGCTGTAAGTGGTGCTCGTTTCCGTCTAGGCAGAGGTACCTGTTGAGTGCCCATCAGACCTTGGCTGCTTTGTCTCATTTAATACATGATTGTTAAAGTAGCTGCCAACTGCTAAGGGACATATAATGACTGAGGAAACAGGTGTATCGTCATACAGTAAAGCAGTAAGTTACCGTAAACTCGTTGTGTCAAATGGGAAAATAAGATGGTTATCACAGAGTGCAGTTAAATTTTTTAAAAAAAGTAGTAAAGGAAGAAACACAGGGAGCCCTCCCTTGCTGGGAGCCCTTAAGGGAAGGACAGCCTGCCCGGGCCTTGGCTGGGATGCATGCCGTCCCTGGCTAGTGCTACTTCTATGCCATGGTTGCTGCATCTCATTATTTTGTTTTTAAATACTCACCAGCTAGTAATGAACTCATTTTTTCCTCAATTATATTTATTCACATAACAATCATTTTAAAGTGTGTAATGCAGTAGCAGTAGCATATGGTACATGTGTAATGCAGTAGCATTTAGTACATTCGCAGTGTCACACAACAACCACCTCTACCTATTCCAAAGCATTTTTTTCCTTCCTTCAGAGTTCCTCAGTGAAGGACATCAGTCTTGGTGTGACTGTTGGCTCACATGAGCAGGGTGTACTGAGTCATGATTTTTGATGGGATCTAGAATCAGGAGATCATTATGATTTGAGGACTGTTTCCAGCACTGGTAGGAATCCTGCGCTGGCCTCTTCAGACTCACTCACTCCTGCTTAGTTGTCAGGTTTTACATTTCCTGGCTCCCAGTTATTTTCTTTTAGGAATGATTCATTCTAACAAATTCATTTGTCCTAGATGAGTAGTGATACAGTGTAACCTGGGGTTTCTATCCAAAGTTTGGGTTGGTGATTCTTGTTTGAGAAACAAAGCTGGCCGTGGCCTCTAGGAGTCGCAGGCAATATCTCCAGTTCTGATGATACTGGGATTTTGACACAGGAATTATTTTATATAGATCAGTTTGGGAAGAATTGCTAGCCTAACAATCCATGAATATGATAGATCTGTCAATTTACTGAAGCATTTGATCGACCTGGTCAATATAGTTATCATCAGAAGATCTTGTATTTTGTTAGATTTCATGTCTTTTTAACATTGTGAAAGATGATGTTTTAAAGGTGCCCCGTCATTCTTTGTAATTTGTAGAAGAAATACAATAGATGTTTGTATTCTGACATGTGTCCTACAAACCACGCCTTAAATGGTGTGAGTGGTGCTTGTTTCCGTCTAGGCAGAGGTGCATAGTTGTCATACATGACAACTGTCATATGATAAAGAGTTTTCTGTCTTTCCAATATCTACCTTTTACTTTTTGTCATGTTTGTAGTGTCAGAGGGGATTTCATTGCTAAATAATGATAGACCATCAGGTTTCTTTCTGTGTCAATTTCTATAGTGGAAAGTTCATTTTCTTTCTTTTTAAAAAAATCTTTCTTTTATTTATTTATTTTTTTATGTGGTGCTGAGGATCGAACCCAGTCCCTCACACATGGTAGGCAAGCACCCTACCACTGAGCCCCAGCCCCAGCCCATAAAGCTCATTTTTAAATCAGCAGGCCTCACTTTGGTTGGTGTTCTGTGTCAACTGAAACATGCATATTGGGACTTTCCTGGCTTTCCTTGAAGCACACATTGCAGAACCATGATGAGTCCAGCATCCAGGATCCTCTGTGAACACAGTGCTTGGCAGCGCGAGAGCTGCCTCTCAGCCTTCCTTAGTAACACACAGGTGCTTAGCACCCAGTCCTGCCGGGACAGTCTCCCTGTTGGACAGTCACTCTTGTTTTCACTAGGAAAATGTAGGGTGTTTTATTTTTTAAACTTGTAAAGATTAAAATGATTAGGTATTTAAATAACAATGATGAAGTAATATGGATGAAAATTAAAGTTTTAAAATTTTCTGTGGGATTATTGTATATTTAGTATTTGTTGGTTAATTTTATCAATAATGGTTAATACCTGTTTTTCTGTTTCCTTTTGGATAAATAGGTTGGAATTATCATTTGCTTTGAATATTCTTTACGATGTAATCAGTATAATGATGCCACATCATTTTATATTTCCTTACATTATTTCTTTTTTTCGGTTATCAAACTTAACTGAGAAAGTCTTTCTTTTTATAGATACTTCCAGTGTGTCTTTTCTTACTTTATAGATAATGTGCAAGATGGCGCCCATGGTTGGGAAGGACATTACGGAACGTCTCATCCTCCCCAGGTTCTGTGAGATGTGCTGTGATTGCAGGATGTTCCATGTGCGGAAGGTACCTTTACAGTCAGTTGTTTTCTGTTTAAGAATGCATAGTTTTAGCGGTTAACATATTGATATGTGAAATTTAATGGATTATTTTTAGGGAACTCTTTGCGGTATATTGAAATGTCACCAATGCTTTTGTTGTCAGGTCTGTGCTGCCAATTTTGGAGATATCTGCAGTGTAGTTGGCCAACAAGCTACTGAGGAAATGTTGGTAAGTATCACAAATATAGAAGAGTAAATGGTGTGTTATAGAGTAGCATGTGAAACTTGAAATGGAAGCATTTGTCCCAAAATTTTATTAACACAATCCCATGAATGTAAAACAGGAAGATGATCATGACTTTGAGTTTAGATATCTGCCCTCCTAGAATCTGGGCATTTAAATTGTGTTTTGGTAAGGACAGTTTGTTAAAAATTTAAATACATGTGACAGTCTTCAATTCATTGTTACCATTCCCATTTCTATGAAGTAAATCAATTCTAGTTTATTCCGTTGAATTAATTTTATTATGGTCCTCCAATATTTTGGTGGCATCTTAAATCTACAGATTAGTTTTAGACAGTAGTATGTGAGATGTGTGTGCTCCAGGTTCACGTGGCTTATTTCTGGAAGGATCTATCATGCAGAACAAGCCCTGAGATAATAGCTGCATTTGTCGAGTGTTTTGGGGTTTGCATAGTCAGTTATGAATTAGATGTGATTTATTGAAAACTACTGAGTATTAATATTAAAAAATTGGTACTTTTAAAGAAAATCCAGTGTTTAAAACACTATGAAAGCAGAAAATGGGAGAAAAGTGACATAGCGTCCTCCTCAGTTTGCCTAAAACCTACCCTTCTTGCGCAGCTGCCCAGGTTTTTCCAGCTTTGCTCTGACAATGTGTGGGGTGTCCGGAAAGCGTGTGCCGAGTGCTTCATGGCTGTGTCCTGCGCAACCTGTCAAGAGATCCGACGGACCAAATTGTCAGCACTGTTTATTAACTTGATCAGTGATCCTTCACGTTGGGTATGGCTTTATAATTTTGGTAAAAAAATATATTTGAGCCTGTTTTTAAAATAAACTTGATTTTATAATTTAAGAAACAATTTATAACGTTATTCATACTTCTAAGAGTAGGCAATAAAAAGACTACTACATTAAGAATATGCTTTTCAGGCGGGAGCTGTGGTTCAGTGGCAGAGCGCTTGCCTGGCACGTGAGGGGCACTGGGCTCAATCCTCAGCACCGCATAAAAATAAATAAATAAAATAAAGGTATTGTATCCATCTACAATGAAAAATATTTAAAAAAAAGAAAAGAATGCACTTTTCTTAACGGTACAGTGTTTCTTTACAAATAAAAATCATGTTGGTTTTCATTCACTTGACAATGATGTATAACATTCATTGATTTTTGTTTTTTAGAACCTTGTGTTCTATAAGTAATAGGTTAAATGTGATCAGATATGACCACTTGGTTGTAGCATATACAACCCACCTCTTCTCCTGTACTGGGGATTGAATCCAGGGGTGCTTTCCCACTGAGCTACATCCCCGTTTTGTTTATATATATATAAAAACTATATATATTTGTGTGTGTGTGTGTGTATATATGTATATATATGTATGTATATATATATATATATGGTTAGTTAGTTAGTTGCAGTTGGACATAATACCTTTATTTATTTGTTTGTTTGTTTGTTTTTATGTGGTGCTGAGAATCAAATGCGGGGCCTCATATGTGCTAGGCGAACATTATACCATTGAGCCACAACCCCAGCTCCCCCCACCAGTTTTTAAATTTTTGTTTTTTCTATAATTTTGAGGCAAGGGTCTAAGTTTCTGAGTCTGGCCTCAAACTTGCTACCCTCCTGTCTCAGCCTACTGAGTCACTGGGATGACAGGCATGCACCCTTATGCCTGGCTATATACTACTTTTGATGTGTTGCTGGATTTCATTTGCTAATGTTATGTTGAGGGGCTTTGTATCCATATTGTAAAAAAAAAAAACACTGGTCTGTAGGTTCTTGTAATGTCATTGTTTAATTTTATTATAATTTAAGTTGGAGAAATGGTCCTTCCTCTTCTGTGTTTGTTTTTTGTTTCAGAAAGTTTGTGAAGAGTTGGTATTAATTCTTTAAATGTTTGGTAGAATTCAGTGGAGAAACCTTTTGGGCCTGGCCTTTTCTTTGTAGGTAGTTTTAGAATTACTAAATAAATTTTCTGTGACATGTATTGGGAGCAAGTTTAGAGATTTTACAATATCCAGAAAAGGTAAACTCTTGACATATAATTTTTTAAATAACATCTTATGTTTTTATGGAAATAATGCTTACTGTCTTACAAAGAGGAACACACTGAGTTCACACACACACACACACACATACACACACACACATATTCCCATGAAGCATATAATTCCAGCCTTTAGGAAAACCAGCTGAACCCTTTTCTTGTATGGGTTCTCCAAGTAGGTAAATACTAATAGAAATACCTTACATTTATTTGCCTTTGTAAAATCCATATAATCATACAGTCCTCACTTTAAAACTTGCAAAACCTTCTGGAAAACTCTCTAGAAAAAGGATGCCATCCTGAGAGAGTTGGGTCTGTGGTGCCATCGAGGGTATGACACGCCTCCTCTGCTATCGCATTGCCGTTGGATTGTGTCCATCCATCCTTCCTCCCATGAAACTCTTCTTTTCAAATGTTGTGTTTTCAAAAATCCTGATTTTGAAAAATAATGCAGAAATCCATGAGGTAAAATTCTATAACCCCACACACAAGTGACATGAAGAAGCGTAGTACAGTAGCGGATGGGAATGGGGGTAGGGGAAGAGGAGGTGCCAGGACTGACCTGGAGCAAAGGAAGGTTCACGCGTGTGGTCATGTCTGAGTGAGCCCAGCCATAATGCACTGATAAGCGTGTAGTGAAAGATCACGAGTGTTTGCTTTCAGGTCTTTGTGGACTATGTCCCAGTATTGTCTTCTACTGGGTCTGTATACAGCTGTGGTACATCTGTCCTGCCTCCTTGTAGTAAACAAGTTATACAGCCTTTCCTACCTGAAAACATTAAATGTATTTGTTACATTTTGTTGACGTTATTACTTTATAATTTTTTTGGTACTCTTAGTTTTCTTTATTCTTTTTGTTGTTGAAAATTTAATAAGACTTTTAAAATATATATATTTTTTTTTTAGTTGTAGATGGATACAATATCTTTATTTATTTACTTTTTTTTTTTTTAATGTGGTGCTGAGGATCAGTGCCTCACACATGCCAGAAGAGTGCGCTACTTCTGAGCCACAACCCAGCCCCTTAACAAGACTTTTTAAAGACTTATTCTACGCAAATATCTTATAGGTTCTCATATTCAAGTTATCTTGGTTTGAATAGAAAAGAAGAAACTGGAAGTAAAAAGGAGAAATTAATTTATAAAATTTCAGAATCCTAGCTGAAGAGTGATTTTTATTGTTCATCCTCTGGGAAAGCAGGCCGTCAGATGTGCCTGTGGCAGAAGCTCCTCCTCATTCCTCTGGCTCACCACCTGGTTTCCTTCCTAGGTTCGCCAAGCAGCTTTTCAGTCCCTGGGACCTTTCATATCTACTTTTGCTAATCCATCTAGCTCAGGCCAGTATTTTAAAGAAGAAAACAAAAGTTCAGAAGATGTTTCAGTAGAAGACAAAAACAGGTATGATTTTAAAACTTTGTTTTCCAGTTTTACTGTTTGTGAATATCATTTCCAATATTTTATAATACACATTCATTTTGGAGCATTGACTAAAAAAATAATAGTTTTATTTCAAGTGTATGTATCTGTTATATTATTTAAACATCAGTTTAGTACATATTAAATGAGAAGATGTATATGTCACACTTAGCTTACCTGGCACATAGAAAATTAAATGGTAGATTTTAATATTTTTAAATAAGTTTATTTAGTAAATAATTTTCTTAGTAAACTGTTGATATTTAGAATATATAGCGTGATGCTTGTGCAGTATAAAGAGTTTGCATTTTGTTTCTTTTAATGAGTTTTCAAGGAGTAAAACCTAATTTAAGAGTATATCTGTTTTGAGGCTGGGGTTGTGGCTCAGCGGTAGAGTACTCTCCTAGCACATGCGAGGCGCTGGGTTCAATCGTCAGCACCACATAAAAATAAATAAAATAAAGGTATGTGACCAACCAGAACTAATAAGTAAAAAAAAATACAGAGTACTTTATATATATATATGGTCCATTTCTGACTATTTTTCCTTTCATGGATCTTGGATTCTCTTACAACAGAGCAATAATTATAAACTCTGAATTGAGGGGAAAGCATTTTAATGATTAATCCTAAACTAGTGTACTTAGTACTAGATTGTCAGTTTTTAAGTGTATTAGCCTAATAGGCTAACCAATTTTTAAAATCTTAAAGAATCAACTCTTGATTTTTATTAAGATTTTTTTTTTTTTGCATTATAAAGCTCAATTGAGTTTTAGTTTTTAGAATTTATCATGCTATATGCTGGGGGGCTGCCCCACCACACTGGTGCCTGGGAGGTGTGCTGGAGGCAGTCCTGCAGTGGGCCGAGTCACCGCAGGTCTGTCGTCCTGGTCATGGTGCTAACGGGCCTTTTCTTCTATAGGTCTTGGTACTGTGGTGTTGCTTTCTTGGTGTTTTGCTTTGGCAGTTCTTCTTTCTTCTCTGCCGCCTTGTTTTCCTCTTGCCCGTTCTCCTACTGTCCTGCTGAGTAGCCAAACAAACCCGAGGTAAAGGAAGAAAAATCACTCTGAACCTGTCTCCTAGCATGCAAAGCCTGTTCGTTCTTTTGAGAAGAGCTTCTGGGAGGAGTGTGACAAAATGACTGACGGGGTGGAGATGTCCACTGCAAGCTCTCTCACTGTCGACCTGAACGTACTGAAGACTGTTACATAGCTTTCATTTACTTTAAAATCTGGAAGGAGTCTAGTAAGTGCAGGTGTGCATTTATAAAAATTGAATTGGGTGGGACAACACACTTTTGTTTTTTCTTTCTTTTTGTCTTTGTTTTTTTCCTTTTTTGGTGGTAGGGATTGAACTTGGGGGCGCTCGACCATTGAGCCACATCCCCAGTCCCATTTTTTGTATTTATTGTTTAGAGACAGGGTCTCACTGAGTTGCTTATGCTTTGCTTTTGCTGAGGCTGGCTTTGAACTCTCGCTCCTCCTGCCCCTGCCTCCCGAGCTGCTGGGATTACCGGCATGCACCCCTGCACCCAGTGCTGGAGGGCACACTTCCTGTGAGAGGCCAGTTAGTAAATGTCCTTCCCTATCACATTGCTCAGCTTTGCCTTTGCAGCCATGTGCCTCGGCTGTGTCAGGGCACTCTTGCTGATAAAAGCAGCTGTTGTGCCTCTCACGGCCATGTTTGCTGACTGCTAGTATGTGGCATTATTGGAAGAGCCATGTAAAGACAGTTTAATTCATGGATTCTTCTTCCATTGTGATGAGGTACGTCTTATCATCAAGTCAGTACTACTTATAGCGTCAGCTTTTCACTGCATTGCTAGATGTTGTTAAATTATGGTAATGGTATGGTGGAGAGAAGAGACTCCCCTGGCTGAGGAGGGAGTTCTGTCAAATAATGTAAATACTTTTGCATAGTTTGACTTCCTAGCTTTGTAGAGAAGTATTAAGTCTCAGAACCATTAACTTGCTTGCTCCCCTTAAATACTGTGCTGGCTTATTTTTAAGCCGTTTTAAAATTGTTATGCCGTTAAGATTAATAAGCAAAAATTAACTGAGCACCTACTGTGATCCACATGCTATAAATGGAAATATAGAACAGTTCTCTCGGTTACTGAGAATTCGGATGTCTTTGTTTCTTTGTTTCTTTCTTTTTATTTTTCTTTTCTTTTTTTTGTACCCAAGGGCACTGAACCACATCCCCAGCCCCCCTTTTTTTTTTTTTTTATTTTTTTTTTAGTTATCGGCAGACACAACATCTTTGTTTGTATGCGGTGCTGAGGATCGAACCCAGGCCGCACGCATGCCAGACGAGCACGCTACCACTTGAGCCACATCCCCAGCCCCCAGCCCCTTTTAAATATTTTTTTTAAGTTGCTTAGGGCCTCACTGAGTGGCTGAGGCTGGCTTTGAAGAATCCAGATTTCTTACACAACATCTTATGAAATGTTGACCTCTTTCCAATGCTGTTTTTTTTTTTTTTGTTTTTTTTTAATAATGTGTTTTGTGTAGTAGCTCTGGAAACATTCACTGCCACATGGTACTGTGAAGACTCATTGATGACTAAAGTGTGATTTCATTGGCTTTGTCTTTCACTCACCTCATCAGGCTTCTTTGAAGCATTTGTGCTTCTCTGAAAGTGCTGTTAAGTCTCCTTCCAGAGCAGAATTTACGTGTACACTTAAAAGTATGTAATACAGGATTCTTTTATGTTTCGTTGTCCTGTGAATGAAGTGGGTCCTGGTGCTTCTCCCTGCTTTCTTGCTGGCTGCTCTCTGCGTGGGAAACCGTCTGTCCCCCTTACCTTCTTCTAACAGAGTGAGCATCGTGATGCACACTGTCCCCAGACTCAGAACCAGCAAGAACCCCTTCTTGACCTTTTCCAGGAAACTCAGAGCTTTGTGTATCTGCTGTTAGTAGCACTGGAGTCGGAGCACTCATCTTTATTTTTTTTCCATCACACTTGTAGAGCAGATTTCCATATCTCTGCTTGTACACTGGAGCACTAAGCTTTAATCGCATCTTAACTATGTGTTCGCCTACATATAGTGGCTGCAAGCTTCCAGTGGAGTGGTCTGTCCTTTGTGCTGGTGCCTTCCCTGGGCTGGCACGTATTTGGTGCAGAGGAAAGTTTGAATGAATTGTTCTAAGGAAACATGGGTTTGATCTCAGAAATCTTCCCTAACTGCTTTTGCCACGTGTTGGTTTAGCTTAAGGTCAGCTGTGTAAACGTGAGACGGGTTGTTGTTGGCGCCGTTGGGAGTACTTCTCTAATGTTAGAACTCACTCCGGTTACTGAAGTGAATGCACAGCACAGTCTTTGGAAGGTGTGTTCTGGAGGGTTCTCCTTCCTCTTTCTGTGGGACCCAGTGCTCCTTAACCAGATGTCTCACAGTTTTCCAGGCCCCATATCCCATGCTGAGGAACTCTAAGGATATCACTTGCAAACTTACATGAGCATAAAAAGAAATTTTAAAATTCTTTAGAGATGGATTCCTGCCCCACCCTCTGGTACTTTTGTACCTAAGTCTCTTGGGAACTGGGACCCCTCCCTCCATGGTGCAGAAGCAGTCTCCTCAGTTTTCAGAACCATGTTTGTTTTGTTTAGTAGCATGTAGAAGTCTGGCAAGTGAGCGTGTCAGAATTGTGGCGTTGAGCAGTGTGGTTTTGCGTCAGTTGTTACCCAGCTAGGAAAAACGGAATTTAGGGAGTTTATACCGCATTCGCAATAATTCCTCCCAGGATTTAATACTAGGGAAAACTCCTGTGTCTCCTAGTCTCTCTAGGATGCACTGTTCAGTTTACATTTGCCAGACAAGTAGATGGTTCAGCCCATTGTTCCTTATTTGATTTTGTTGTTGAGAATATTAAAATTTCATCTTAGTGATCAGAGAACTTCAGACCTAGGACAGTTTCACATTCTGAATGACATTTTTATTAGGAGCTTTTTATGTTTATCTGTTTGTTCCTCCCTGTCTCAATTGCTGAAAAATATCCTGTTAATATAAATTTTTAAATTTGGTTTGAATGATTTCAGAAAAATTATACAAATACCATAAAGAATCCCACATATCCTTCATCCAAATTCTCTGGATATTAATGTTTTACCATATTTGCCTTACTGCTGGTTATTTTTAGAACTCATTTCGACATGATATTCTTTTTACTTCTCTTAAACACTTTACTGTGTATTTTTTCAAAACACACACATTGCCGGGCACAGTGGTACAAGCTTGTAAACCCACCGGCTCAGGAGGCTAAGCAGGAGGATCGCAAGTTCAAAGCCAGCCTCAGCAACTTAGCGAGACCCTGCCTCAAAATAAAAAGGGCTGGGGATGTGGCTCAGTGCCCCTGGGTTCAATAACCCCAAAACCAATACACACAAACACACATACGATTAATACATAACTTCAGTGACCAACAAAGGAAATTAACAAAACACTATTACCTAATCTGTAGACTTTATTCAGATTTCACCAGTTATCCTACTAAAGTTCTTAATAACAAAAGGAAAAAAAAAACACATTTTAATAAGGACAAAATGACCAAAGAACACATTCAGCACACATGCTTGTTTTTTAATAATAGCACAAGCTTCAGAAGCTCTTTTGAGAAGGAAAGGATCTCATGGCTCGTCTGGGCAGGTCCCTCATGCTGATGCAGTAGAAGTAAGGAAGGAGCCTTGTGGGGCTTTATGTCAATGTGTTAGCAGCACCGGGTCAAAACAGGCAGTCCGGGTTCTTCAGTTGTGACACAGCTGGGCTCCATGTGCATGCTCTGTTTATAGATACAGAACGGAAGAGAAACACCACATGTAAAATCTATCCTTGTGTGGTGTGTGGTCAGATAACGTTTATATATTTTTGTTTTCTCTTTAAAAAATCTTTAATAGCCGTGTTTTTAAATATGTTTTTTAAAACCTGGTGAACAGTATGATGAAAGGGAATTTCACTACCTCACGAGGACGCTAGCGGTGGCTGTTGAACTGTGACCTTGTGTGGTGTTGACCCTCCTTTTGCAGGGTTCCCTTAGCCTCCTGTTGGGATGTCTTTCACTGTGTGTATTTAAAAGCGCAAGATGTACTAAGGAAATGCCCTTATTGTCCCCCTCCTTTTCACTTTAAAAATGCACACACGCGTTGATCCACCCTGTCTTGCTCTCCTCCATTAGTCTGCCCTAGGGTTTAATCCATCCCTCACCCAAAAGATGCTACCTTTCTTCAGAACACATCATCACTTGGGGGTAGGTCTGGAGTCACTGTGTCCTTCTGACCTCCTTCTTTGAGAGTGGCCTTAGGAGAGGAACGCGTCTGATAGTGTCCTCGTCCTCAGCCTGCCAACGCCGTTTCCTCTCTCCACGTCAGAACCGTCTGGTGGTTTTCCTGGCTGTTGCCCCTCTCCTCGGCTCCTGCCTTTGTGTGCCGGTTCTTCTTTGAAGACGTTTCCTCCTTAGTCTCAAAAGCACTGACTGGCTCTTCTCAGTACTCCTGCCGCTTCCTCCATGGCTTCCTGGTGCCCTCCTCTGCCCCTTCCTGTGCTAAGTGTGCCTGCTTCTCCACTTACAGCTGGTTCTTGTTGCCTTATTTGATCTTTTTAATCTTTTTTTTTTTTGGTGTTAGGTATTGAACCCAGGCATGCCTAACCACTGAGCTACACTCCCATCCCTTTTTGTTTTTCATTTTGAGACAGGGTCTTCCTGAGTTGCTGAGGTTTGCCTCCAACTTGAGATCCTCCTATCTCAGCCTCCCGAACTGCTGGGATTACAGGCATTTGCCACTGTGTCCAACTGATCCTTTCTTTTATTTGCTTCTAACTATGATCTCAAGAGCAAGATCTACATCACATTAATATTCAGATCCTCAAAACTCATTTTGTTTCCTGACTCTAAGTAGGTGCTCAGTAAATGCTTACTAAATTTAATTGAGACAGATAAAACAGGCAATAAACAGTAAACTTAAGATAGCACTTTGGTTTAGATGACACATGGCAGTACTTAGTGGACTTCAGTTGGGAAACTGTTAATTTCGCTTACCAGTTAAATCTTGCCTTCCTTTTGGAAAAATTTGGGAGTAGAGATGGAAATTATGGAAGAAATAAAAATAATTCTTTGTTTGCACTTAAGTACATTTTCACATATCTCATGAGACGGTTAATAAGTACATTTTCTACTATTTATATAGAGCTCTTTTTCCTTTTTTGTGTAAGCAAAAAAGCTTTTAATTCTCAGCTTTCAGCATGTCATTGGAGCAGAATGGCAATACAAATAATGCCAAAAATCCTATAAATTAAAAGTCGTGTATATCATCAAATGCATGTAGGAATTGCCTCTTCCTATTTTTCTGTAGTTGCTTATTGAAATTAGTATGGTATTGTAGAATCCTAGAATTATTTTTTTGTTGGGGGGGTTACCAGGGATTGAACTCGGGGGCACTGGACCACTGAGCCACATCCCCAGCCTATTTTGTATTTTATTTAGAGACAGGGTCTCATTGAGTTGCTTAGCCACCTCACTTTTGCTGAGAGTGGCTTTGAACTGTGATCCTCCTGTCTCAGCCTCCCAAGCTGCTGGGATTATAGGCGTGTGCCACTGTGCCTGGTGCCCAGGATTCTTTAATGTTACCTTCTCCGGAGCACTAGTAGTACTTGAATAGCTAGAATTATGCTTAATAGGTGTTTACATCTCTGAACAAAGAACAGCTAATGGAAAAAGAAGCATTCTAAGTGATGGACATGAACAATTCAATTTGTATGGATGATAATTTGTAATATTTAACTTGTCAAAAGGCTATATGTAATATCTTTCTTGGATTTGTTTTCCAGTAATTGTTTTATTTATACTTTCATGTTTTTATGTGTGTTTTTTCCCCCAAAATGAAACAATAAAAGGATCAGAAATCAAGATGTCCTAGAGGATGTACAAATCAGGCCAGAGGATGTTCCTTCAGATCTCAGAGTCACTAATTCCAGTATTAACCTGGAAAACTTGCTGGAAGGTCCTGCTGCGGAAACATCCAGGAAACCTCCAGGTGAAATCAGTGTTCCAGCGGACAGCTCTTTACTTTATACTTTGTCCTCAGAACTTCATCAGGAAGCAGCTAGTAATGAGAATGACAGAAAGCATGGTCACTACAAATCCACCTTCCGGCCAGAGGCTGGCACCAGCTCGCAGGATTCGGCTCTCTTAGATCAGGAGTTGTACAACTCCTTCCATTTCTGGAGGACTCCTCTTCCTGAAATAGACCTCGATACGGAGCTAGAGCAGGACTCTGGGAAAAGCCCAAGCCCAGAAGCAGCACCCGAAGTCCCTGTGTCATGTTCTCCAAATATCACCATGGCCACCAGGAGGGAACTTGAAGAAATGATAGAAAACCTGGAGCCCCATATAGATGATCCAGATGTCAAAGGTATGCAGGTGTTAAGTTACTTCTTTGTTCTAAAATTGATGTAAAATGTGACTTTTCAAAACCTTTTTCTAGAATAATTCCCTCCTTTTAAGATTGATAGATGTGTTTGGGTTTTGTTGTTGTTGTTGTTTTGTTTTGTTTTTTTACGAAGCTCTCAGGTAACAAGTGTTCCTTATTGGAGTGTGCAGGGTTTGTTGCTCTGCCGATTGCCCTGCCTGTTGGAATTGTAGGAAGAGGGTGGAGCAAGTGGGCCCAGCCAGTGAGGGAAGAGGCACGCTCCCTGCCCCTAGGAAGACATGGCCTTCCTGATGATTCCTGGGTCCTTTGGGGAAAGCCAAAATGTTATTTAAACCAAAAGGTGATTTTGGAAGATCCCATAAGTACAAGTCTTCGGATCTTATATTACTTTCTGAATTTTTTTATTTCCCTGTTTGTTCCAAAAACTAAAATTTCTAAACTGTCAGTTTGCCCAATATTGAGAAATGTCCATTTCTGAATGATAGCATCAGTATCCTTTTAAAATGTAGAAAACATTATGTTTGAACTTTGAAAATTGCATTGGCATGGTCAAGTTAGCAATTGTCGTTATTTGACTTTCATTTATTGTGATTTTTTTTTTAAGCAATTTTCTGTTATAATTTTACACTTGGGAAAAATTAATATGATTAAAGGCTAACTCCTGCACTTGGTGGTTGAACATTAATTGAAAAGTAATCAGTTTCTTTTTTTTTAACATTTATTTTATAAGAGTTATGGGGGTATAATTTCTATCAGTAAAAGTCATGCTTTTGATTGGACGGGGTTAGATGGAGAAGCACAGGCAGGTAGCGCCACACCCCGGTGAGTCGCGCTCCCTCCCCACCCTCTGGGCGCCGCTCTGCCCTTTCCAGAATGCTCCCAAGTCGGCACAGAGCCCTGGAGTCTGACCAGGATCAGCCCTGTGGCATGTCACTATAAGTTCACTCCTCTTATTTTCTGAAACTGGCACGAGCGGAAGACTGAATGTTAGCAGGGTGCTATGGTCTTCCCTCCCAGGAGGTCATTTCCACAGAAGCCTTGGAGCTTTACTTTCTTTGCTTCCTTCTTCAGTCGCAGCTCCTGCTATGGAGTTTCACCACGTAGCAAGGGCTGAGGATTTTATTTTGTTTGCCAAACACAAATCCTGACCCAGATCTCACTTGTGTCCCCCTCCTTTCCTGTCTACCCCAGTGAGAATCAAGCACAGAATTAGACCCCAGACTAGGGCCGCGGGAGCCACCAGTGCCTTCACTCTCTCCCGCTTTTCATTTGTCTTTTTTTATTAATTACCCACTTAAATTTGATAAAGTATTAAACCTCGATACCTCATATTTCATTTTCTTAAACTCCATTTTTATGAAAAAAAATTGCCAGCTGGTCCTCGAGCCTGTCCTGGGAGTTCTCGTTTTATCACAGTGCCTGTTGGCTTTCAGACACTCGCAGGCACTTTTAAATTGTTAATTGAAGTGTTGAATGAGTTTTAATTTTTCAGCAATTAAAATAGCTTCTTCCATAGTTCACTTTTTATAAAAGACTTGTGTAAGGGCTAGGGCTGTAGCTCAGTGGTGGAGCACCCACCTCCCATGTGTGAGGCACTGGGTTTGATCCTCAGCACTACATAAAAATAAATAAAGATATTGTATCCAACTACAACTAAGAAAATATTTTTTAAAAATAAAATAAAAGACTTGGGTAAATGCACCTTCCAGGATATGACTTTGTTTCCTTCCTTTCTTTTTTGGTCCTAGGGGTTGAACCCAGGGGAGCTCTACCACTGATCTACACCCCAGGCCTGTCCCACTTTTTTTTTTTTTAAGACAGGGTCTCACTAAGTTGCTGAGGCTGGCTTTGGACTTGTGACTGTCCTGCCTCAGCCTCCTGAGCCTAGCTTATGACCCATGTTTCTGAAGATGGCTAATACTGTACTTTTTGATTTAACATTACATTGTAACTTTATAAGCTACAGCTGAGAGATTTCAGTGTAGATACTGTCTTGTGATCTAATCTAATTCAGCTCTGTAACCTGGTAGATTAACAGTTATCATGTTGTTCTGTCCACTGTGGCAAGGATTGCTGCACATATTTCCTTGGCAGGTTGGTCCTTCTTTCAGTAGTACTGACCGAGCACCTGTTGAGATGGTCACTGTATCAGGACTTAGGAGATGGCAGCTGCAAACCAGACAGCGATCCTGGGATTTGAGGCAGAGGAGCAGATGGTGTGGTGCTGGGGGTAGAACCGGGGCCTGAGCGTGCTGGATAGTGCACAGAGGCTCAGCCACTGAGCTGCACCCCAGCTCCAGGCTGCAGAATTCTTGAGTGCTTGATTTTGTTGAGATCTGAGGGCACATATACTCTGTGTTAAATAATGCCTTAAAAGAATGGATGTTAATTTGGGGTGCTTTTTATTTTCTACTTATGCCTTTGCAGGGCAGTCATTCCTTCAAACTGTCAGAAAACAGTGATGTGTTCCAAAGGTAGAACTTAATCTGAGATTGAAAACAAAGTTCTCACCAGGGAGCACACCCTGGGAGTTGGTGGCCTCGTGGATTTCTTCTTGTTGGGCTTTGCAGGGGCTCTCACAACAGAGCTTGTCCACTGTCTACCGGGGAAGCCCTTTCAGGACACTAATGGACACTCAGCTTCAGTCCCACCTGATCTCTTTCCTTGTGGCTGTGCTCTGGGGAAAGCAAGACTTAGTGGATTTCTTCTAAGGCAGCTTTCACGTCATGGTCTCGCTGATGTCCATCTTACCTTCCTGTGAACACGGATACTTTTTGCTGCCTTGTGGATTTGGGGTATGACATTAGCTGTGTTTTCTTAGATAACATTGGGAGTCCTGTTTTGTGGGAACCCTTTATTGGTTAGAGCAGATAGATCCTTGTGGGACGATCTCCATGTAGATCCCACATGGTGAGACACCTGACTTGCAGGGTGGCTAGGCAGATCCAGGGTAGAACAGGGAGCAGCCACTGAGCAGAATGCCTCCCTTGGCTGGACCTGCCACAATGAGGTCCACACACTGCATAAGATCTGCTCACAAAGCTATTGATTTCTTTCTAGTTTGGGTCCAACTGAAGAATTAGGCCCATTGAGAGTTTATCAGAAAAGCTGTGTTGTTCACTGTTTAAAATCAGTAAATTACTGTTGGCCTTAGGAACTTCTAATGATCACAGCATGGTTGTGGAGAGTGGGAGATCCTGAAGGGTTAGCTCAGCTGTGCCAGTCCCTTCAGGAAAAGACCAAAGTTTGAAGGTTTCAGGTGGTCCCCATCTCTTTGATGTGTCTCTGGGGATTGTGTTTCTTCATAGATTCATGGTTCGTGCCACCTAAAAACCTGCTGGGCGTGTGATTAAATGGCCCCGTTCCCCTCTCGGAGTGCTCTATGTTTGTCATTGGAGTTAGATGTGCTAAACCCTCATAGTCTGGAGTGATCATTTCCATTGGGAATGACAGTAGTTGGCTGTGGGTGACACATAACACAGAATCGGCTGTCCCTGTAGTAACTCCAGAGTCCTGGGGGGAGAGACACCGTTCCAGCAGCTGTCTCTCAGAGCAGCAGCCTGAGACTCTTGGTAAAGCGAGCAACAGATAGATTTCAGTGTTGCTCACAGACTCTTAGTTCTGAGTCCCTAATTCTGGGTCCTGGGGTTTCAGTCTGCACTGCGAGTGAGAGGCAAGCCTGGGTGAAAGTCTCCTTAAGTTCCTCACCATGGCCCTTTAGATCCTCCTAAAATCCCAGCAGTAGCAAAGCTGAAGATTCTGCCTTGTTCTCTGGTTGGAGAATTTAAGCTTCAATTCTGAGGATGCAGCTCTAGGTTCCATCTCAGTTTTCTGAAAAAGGTAAGTTCACAGTGTAACTCATTTACATTTTTATGAGCATAAAAACTTACAAAATGCACCAACACGCACATGACAATGGGAAGGATGCAGAGCACTTAGATAAGGGGCCTGTGTCGGATGTTCCATAAGAGGCTGGTGTCGCACTCACTTCCAGGGTGCTGGCGATGGCCAGGCGTGTGCCTGCCTCACTTGGCAGCGGCCACCCATGTAGTGGTATATGGTGTGGCCTGCTGTGCTGCTGTTGTGCTTCAGCTGGGGAATCTTGAAAGACGCCAGGAGGAACAGAAACGTCTATAAAGAGAGCCTACAAATTGCCACTGAGATTCTGAGAAGAGTGAGCGAGAGCATGCTTTCACAGAACTTGTAGGAGTCAGCACCACGGTTTATTAACTTAGCCTGTGACAACCTGCTAGAACAGGGCTCCCTCTGAGCGCACCTCACATCCCCGTTGCCAGGTACTGACAGGGCGCACTGTCCAAGTGCTGCAGCCCACTAGCAGGCCATGTCACGCGCTTGTTGATCATTTTTTTGAACACAAACTTTGTATTCAAGTGGAGTGCTACTTGGAGTAGGTGCGAGCAGTGCATTTGCTGACCCTCGTGAGAGTGGGGGGTTAGTGAGGATGCTTTTCTGTGGCTGTGAATCCCTTGCTGAGGGAAGCACTGCGGTCGCCAGGTTGAAGAACCGCTGCTGCTGAGTTGTCCTCTTGGTTCGCTGCAAGGAAGACAGCATTTCTACAGTGTCCCTGGTCTTGGGACATGTGGCTTCTTTTTCAATGTCAAGAAGAACTAGAGCAGAGCGAAGCGGAATGAGATGGGAGAGGTGTTCAATGTTCTGAGGAGTATGCGCAGGGGCCTGTGTAGTGCCCGCTGTAACGTTGGCAGAGTCTGTGGGCTACTGTTCTGCCAGCGGACTCACGCACTACCAGAGGTGGTCCACTCTCTCGACTGACTCCTTTCATGTCAGACTCGAGTCCCTCCAGCACCTAGGTAGCATCTCTCCTCCTGACGCAGAGCGGTGTGCGGTAGCGGGTGGCGCAACTGACCCGTGGAGGCCTATTAGCATATTAGTGGTCTCCTCTTCTCTGGAGGGACTAATGATTTACAATAGTAGACATTTTTTTCAGCTTTTTTATGCGGTGTAAAAACACATCCGTCCTTTGATGGTGCCTTGTGCTGTGCCGTGGAGGAGCACGCCAGAGCCCGCCCCGCTCACTGTCTCCCTCTTCTGCCTGCAGCACAAGTGGAAGTGCTGTCGGCCGCACTGCGCGCTTCCTGTCTGGATGCTCACGAGGAGACCGGCAGCGTGGAAAAGAGTGACCTGCAAGACGAACCGGGTATAAATGAGCTACCAAATTGTAAACTAACTCAAGATGATTCTGTGCCTTTAATCTGCGATGCCGTTGAGGTAACGAACCACGAGGTGTTGACCGCGCGACAGCGGTTTGCCTCAGCGGCCTTGGTGGGGATGGCTGTGGCTAATCACGTCTAGTTAGCATGTTCTGGGGCTGCCGGTTTACTACGTCCTCTTGCACAGAGTAAAAGCGACTGTCCACGTCCTGTCCTTGTGACACTGTGCCGTAGTGAATGCCTGGGGAGTGCCCCAGTCCTGCCTGGGGCCATATGGTGGGCTTCATGCTAACGTAGCTCACTGCAGTGAAATAGTCTTACTGGAAACAAAGCCCTTTATTAAGAATAATTAATTCTTCCCTTTTCTTTTTGGAGAGGTGCTTTGTTTCTGGTCGGACCATTTCACTGCAGCAAGCAACACAGTGTTCTGAGAAGATCGGGACTTGAGGCCACGTTGCGGAGGGCCAGTGGCATTGTCTGGACTCGAGTGTGAGGGTGGGTACTGTTACGAGCCTCGTCGTCACTGCGCTCTTGTGAATCCACATGGTCCTTCCCTGGTCTCCCACGACAGCCCCAGCAGCCAGCGGCAGTTGCTCTGTCCCTTCTCCCTGGGTGGTTTAAAGGCAGAGAGGGAACATGCCACTCAGTGCCAGAATCCAGTGGCCCCAGGTCCTAGTGGCTCGAGTGATAAGCTCAGGAAAGCGCGCTCTTACTCTTTGGGGACGGCAGGTTCTTGGAGCTCTGGTGCATTTGCTTTAGTGTTTGTTGGGTGACATCTGGTGTGTCAGAGATCTGCAGAACACCAGTGCTCTGGAGGGAAATGCCGACTGTTTGTTGGAGTTTTGACTGCTGTGCTATATCTGCATTTTAGATGGTTTTTTATTTGTTGGCTTTGTGTGAAGGAGAGTTCTGTGGTTAAAAGTAGATGTTTCTGAATTAGATATTAAAGAGCCAAGAACAAACAGAAGAGACACTGTGTATGACACCCAGTGGCCTCTCGGACAGTTGACTGAAAGAAGCCTCGGAGTACTGTTTTATGAATGAGCTAATTCAAAATATTTAGTCCATTGCAAAACTATTTTCAAATCTGCTTTAAAAAATATTTTTTTTTAGTTGTAGATGGACACAATACCTTTATTTTATTTGTTTATTGATTTTTTTCAATGTGATCCCAAGGAGGGAACTCAGTGCCTCACACAAGCTAGGCAGAGTGCTCTACCACTGAGCCCAGCCCCAGCCCCGCAGATGGACTTTTTAATCACTCTCATTTTCCTGGAGTGAATATTCACAGATTGAGCAGCTTCTCGGCAAGCTTGCTTTAAAGCAGAGGAGGTTCTCACGGGCCTGGGGCTGGGCTTGTGTGTGCTCATGGTGCTGGGGATCAAACAGGGCCTTGGGCGTGCAAGGCAAGTGCTTTGCACGGAGCTGAGCTGCACCCAGCCCAAGGCCGTGTGTTTAGAGACTCATAAAAACCTCAAGAATTGATATGTGTTCCTATCTGTATGGCAGCCTTGAGAGGTAAGTAGCCTAGTAAAATGGTTTTAATGAGGACAACTTGGAGGAGAAGGACTCTCTAAGCATGTCTGTTTCCCAACAGGGCGTGGACTCCACTCCTCACTATGCCCATGACGACTCGGACATGAGCACCAGCAGTGGCTTCAGCCCTGAGGAGGAGAGGCGGGCCAAAGTGCAGGTGAGCCCCGCTGGGTGGGGTTGGGGGGATCATGCTGGGTGAGGACACGCAGCAGGGAACCTCCCCCAGGGCCATCCCCGCCAGGTTTTCCCTCACAGACCTTCACAGGTCTGTGAGCACACGGGTACCCCTTTTCACCTCTCAAGAGAAGCAGGATCATCCCAGGCCACCACAGTGCGGCCTTATCTGTAACTTAGCTTTTAAATTTAGTAATTAATTCTAACTGGTCTTTATGCTGTTTATTGTTTAAGATCTTAATTAGCTCTAGTTTTGCTTTGTACACACACACGTTTTCCTTAGTATGTGTTTCTTATCTCTTTGCAATTACTAATAGCCTAAAATTCAACCTTAAAATCCAGGTGCTTAAAAGTGGCGTGGTAGAACACTTGCCTAACACGTGAGGCCCTGGGTTTGATTCTCAACACCACATATAAAATAAAGGTCCGTTGACAACCAAAAGTACTTTTAAAAAAATAAGTAATTTTTACCTGATTTATGTCTAAACTGCTGAAAGTACATTTAAATGCTCAAAATGTGTTACTGTCCTCTTTATTCATTAGGATGTTGTGCCTCAGGCTTTGCTAGATCAGTATCTATCTATGACGGACCCCTCTCGTGCACAGACGGTTGACACTGAGATCGCTAAGCACTGTGCGTACAGCCTCCCGGGCGTGGCCTTGACCCTCGGCCGGCAGAACTGGCACTGCCTGCGAGAGACCTATGAGACCCTGGCCTCGGACATGCAGGTGGGTGAGGCTGAGGTGGGACCAGGCACCCTATACACACAAGGCCCACATTTTTTGGCTTTTAAAGCCTAGAGAGTTTCTGTTTCAGTCAATCTTATATGGGTGAGCTTAAAGGTCATGTCAGAGAGTGTTTTGCATCAGGATTCCAGCGTCTGGCCTCTGGAGTGTATCGCAGGGCTTCATTTGAATGGAACCACAGGGGCCCCGTCTCCATAGAGTACTAGGTCCTCTGCCTTGGAGTTGATGGTCTCCATTCCACAACATTCCCGGGGCTCCTGTGCCTGCCTGTCCCCTCTCCTCATCAGACATCTCTGCCTCCACCTGTTATGTGTGAACCTGAGCAAATGGGTATACGTCAAGTGTAGGGGCTGCTGCGAAGCTGTTGGTGGAAATGCTTCTGTAGGTGAAGTTTTAAGTCACAGTGTCAGTTTTTAAATTAAGGCCATGTGGAGGAAAAGATGTTTTTAACTTAGTTTCTTAGCAAATGAGATTTCTGTTGAGTTCTTTTCCAAGGGCTGTACACAAAAGATTTTTTTTTTTTTTTTTTATGGCAGGTGATAAAATACTATTTTATTTTATTTTTTTAATTTTTTATTGTTGGCTGTTCAAAACATTACATAGTTCTTGATATATCATATTTCACAATTTGATTCAAGTGGGTTATGAGCTCCCATTTTTACCCCATATAAAAATATGGAACGCTTCACGAATTTGCGTGTCATCCTTGCGCAGGGGCCATGCTAATCTTCTCTGTATCGTTCCAATTTTAGTATATGTGCTGCCGAAGCGAGCACAACACACAAAAGATTTTCCTATTCTTGTATTTAAGTTGTCAGTTCCATACAAACAAATTTTATTGGTTTTTATCTAAGACTTGAAACAACTTCTGAAGAGTCAAGTGGGATGGAGCCAGGTAGCCTTTGAGTCCTGTGGACATCAGAAAATCAGGGACCTAATGGTCACAGAATGGCAAAACTGGTCCGTTAGGGATTCCCTCAAGCATCGTTTTCTTCATAAATGAAAGGGAAATGGAAAGCAGATAAATATATATATATATATATATATTAATTCTCATAATAGATGTTTAAAATTTAGCATCCATTATTTCTACTATTATGTGTTTGCTCTTATATTTTGAGATTAATATTCAAAGTACTGTGCACTTGTATTTAACTTGCTAACGTAGCTTTTGTTCTGCAGTGGAAAGTCCGAAGAACCTTAGCATTCTCCATCCATGAACTTGCGGTTATTCTTGGGGATCAGTTGACAGCTGCAGATCTGGTTCCAATTTTTAATGGATTTTTAAAAGACCTCGATGAAGTCAGGATAGGTGTCCTTAAACACTTGCATGATTTTCTGAAGGTAACTTTAAAACTTTTCACATAAAACATAATGAAATTCCAATATAAATCTAAAATTTTGTTTATGTTTTGTGTCTTTGGTGATCAGCAGGATTTCTGTGTGTTCCTTTATAAGGAAATACACCCCTGAGTTGGTGGTAAGATGTGACTTGAGGGGGAAAAAAAAGCCTCATTCTGATAGTTTGCTCGTGTCATTTAATTTTTTTAATTCAAATTTATGCCAACATTAATTTTTAAACAAATGTGTACAAACGTGTACCGTTTTCTTTTTTGGCGTTGTAGAATAAGATACACATTTAACCTCTTAGGAACCGTGGGCTTGTGTTCTGTGGCCTTCCAGGAGTGCTTACTCCTTTGACACTGGCCCTCTGCTGTCCTGGGTGGGGGCCTGGGTTCACAGATGGCCTGCTTCTCAGACTGTCACCTTGAACTCGTTGTCCTGGGGATGGAACCCAGGGCCAGCCCCTCTGCCACCACCCATCTTAAAGTAGTTTGAATTAGAAAAGTAATTGTATATGGAAGAAATTATAATCCTGCTTTTGGGAAAAAAAAACTGACTTTGTTAAGACTATTTTATACAGAGCAGACTGAAATTTTTTTGTTTCAATTATGTCCTTTATAGCTTTTATCCCTTTAATTCAAAGTCCAACTAGAAAGCACATGTTGAATTTAAATGTTTTAGCTCTTCCTCAAAACATTTTCCCTATTTGTTTGTTTTGTTTTTTGGTGGGGTACCAGGGTTGCACCCAGGGGCACTTAGCCACAAACCCAGCCATTTATTTATTTATATTTTGAGAGAAGGTCTTGATAAATTGTTTAGGGCCTTGCTAAGTTGCTGAGGCTGATCTTGAACTTGGAATCCTCTTGCCTTGGCCCCCCTAGCTGCTTGGATGACAGGCGGGTGCCTCTGTGCCTGGTCACATGACTTCTCAGTGCCACTGACATTTTGTGAGAGTCCAGCCAGGTGTTCTGCACGTTACCCCCTGGTTTGGATTTGTCTAGGTGTTGCCATGCAGCTTGATTCTGATTAAGCCGGGGCTTTCACAGGCATACTGTCTACCTGGTCTTCCTGGGTGAGTTGTCAGTTATTTTCCATGTTTTGCCTTAGTGTGACATGGTGTCGGCCCTTGTATTCTGGTGACGTGTCTGGTCATTTGGTCGTGGCATCCGTTTGATTCCTGCATTATGAACCTTTCACCCTTGGGATCAGCAAGAAATTGCTGAGCGGATGCTGTTGAAGTCTTGACATCTTTTTCCCTAGAAAAGATGCGCGGTCCTTTCATCTCCCTTTCAAAGCGCTCTCCAGTGTGGCCACGGACTCGAGAATTCATTTACTCCGTGTCTCGTGGCCCATGTCTGTCTGAGCCTGGGCTGTGGGGGCCGGGGTGTGGAGCTGTCTGTGGGCAGGCCTGTGCGTCGAGCCCGCCGTGCACTGTGTTCCTGGGCACCTGTCTGTCAGGCTTTTTCAGGAGACAGGAGCCAAGAAGTTGTTTTGCTCTGAATTATTGAGTTTGCTTTTGAAATTGAAGTGAATTGTCCAGTACTTGTAAATGTGGAAGGTGGTAGACAGCTGCTTGGCCCAGCTCTGGCCCTTCTTCTCCTCCCTCTTCCACATCGCTTCCTCGCCTGGCATGAAGGCTCATTCTGTGCAGTGCTGACAGCTGGTCGCTCCCGTGTCCTACAACACTCGTGGGATAGTTTGGGAATGACTCCTGGTCAGGGGGCTCTAGCAACGCCAACAGGTGTCGTCAGCATTTCCTCGGGCTCCACCGGTCCTCCAGCTGTGCCCCTGTGGGGCGGGTGTCTGCGCCCGGTCGTCCTGTAGGCACGGGCAGAGCAGTTGTCGGGTGCGTTTATCTTTTTGCTCAAATCTGCATTAAGTACCTACTCTGTGTGACAGGGCGTTCACTGGCCTTGTTGCACATGTAGGGGGAGTCACTGTTTCGGGGTACATGTGAGGGGAGCCCAAGGGTAGTGCAGGCCTGCCGCAGCCTCGAGGGAACCAAGACTTCTTCCAGAGCGACAGTGGCTCTGCAGGTCAAGTGGGTCACTTGGGAAATCGAGTCGAGCATCTCTGCTACACGGTGCCAGCGGGCCCTGCTTCTCTAGAGCGCTGGACAGCCACACTCGAGTCCACTCTGCAGCAGGCCAGGGGCGGCGTCTCTCCTCGTCCTGGTGAGTGAGATGCTGTGTTTTGTGCGCAGCTCCTTCACATTGACAAGAGGAGAGAGTACTTGTACCAGCTGCAGGAGTTCCTAGTGACCGACAACAGCAGGAACTGGCGTTTCCGTGCGGAGCTGGCTGAGTAAGTCGGGCTGCCCTCCTCTCTCCCGCTTGGAGCAGGGCCAGGTCTCTGGCAGTTCCTTGGGCACTTCTTGGGGTGCAGGACTCCATCTGCTGTGAGAAAGGTGCGAGCCGCCCTGGCCCCCAGGCTCGCTGTGGCACGTCGCTTTTCCGTGGTGTTGGCCTCTCCTCTTGCTAGCATGCCACCCTCGGTCCTTGGGGTCCCCGTGGTAGCTGGGACTTCTCCCTGCAGCAGGCGATGTTGGCTGGACGTCAGCCAGGGGCCTTTGCTCAGGAAGGCTTCCCACCCCCGCTGGGGTGCAGCATGTGCCCACCCTCCCTAGCACTTCCTGTGAGCCTATGCCCATGGCCTCCCTCAGGGGCCTGGGGCTTTCCCTACATGTGAGAAAAGGTCCCGGAGCGCCCTGTGCCACCCAGTGTTGTTGACACCTGAGGGACCTCCCTCCTGACCCAGGGGAGAGGACCCTGTAGGCAACAGTTTACAAGTACGCAAGCACCTGTGTCCGCCACCTTCCAGCCACTGTGCAAGCCCACACCTGGCCTGGGAAGCCGGCTGCCTTTCCGGTGGCTTCGTCTCACCTGTGGCAGCAGGCACCTCTTCCACCCACACGTTACGCAGGCCAGACTATTGGTGTGTCCCGCTTGTCATTCTGGGAAGTAATGCTCTTTGATGTCCTAGAGGTCCTCAGGTTCCCCCAGACAGGATAGGCAGTTTCAGGGGGGCCCCCTGCGGTCATCCCTGGAGGCTGCTGGAGTCCCAACAGGTGCATAGTGGCCCCCTGTTGTGACAGGTGCACAGTGGCCCCCTGTTGTGACAGGAGCACAATAGACCCCCTGTTCTGCTGAACTTCCTACTGAGCACACGTGTTTGCCGACAGGGTTTCTCAGCTCGTCCTGTGGGAAATGTGCCAGGCTCCAGCTGAACACTCCAGGAAGGGCTTTGCGCTTTCTCAGTCCTCATGTGCCCTAGTCTGTCCTGTGTAGCTGTCACAAAACACAGGATGCTGGCCAGTGTGTAAAGGAGAGTTTATGTGCTCAGATTTCTGGAGGCTGGTCAGTGTAAATGGTGGGTGCTGCTGCCTGGCTCCGTCACAGCGTGGCACTGAACAGCAAGGGAATGAGCCACCATTTGAGCCAAAGGCCAAGGGGCCAGGCTCACTCCTGTGATGACCACCCTCTGGGAATTCACCAGGCTAGGGAGACCTGGCCATTCCCACGAGACAGTGGGCCTCCACTGGTGGGGGCAGCACACCATGATCTGGTCACCTGCCCCTGGCGCCACCTCCCAGAGGTGCCACCACCTCATCACTGTCACTTAGGGGCCATGCTTCCAGTGTGGACCTATGGGAACAAGCCACGGGACAGAGGGCCCAGAATTCCACAGCTTTGTGCTCCTGGCATTTTGTGGGAAGACGTCACCTCGAGCTGCGGTGCGGAGTGTGTGTCCTGGCGACCACAGGCTGTGGTGGTCTGGGTGGGGAGGCCTGCTGTGTCCCTGGCATGGCTCTGTCCTGGGGTGCAGTCTGAGACGAGTGGCCTGTGTTTACTTGCCGTCTGTGTCTGGACATTGGCTGGCTCTTGACGTCCTGGTGTCCGTCTTTGTAGGCAGCTGACCTTGCTCCTGGAGCTGTACAGCCCCCGGGACGTCTACGACTACCTGCGTCCCATCGCCCTGAGTCTGTGCGCGGACAAGGTCTCCTCGGTCCGCTGGATCTCCTACAAGCTGGTGGGTCCACGCCCTGGCTTCCTGGCAGATTCCGCTCCCCGGCTCTCAGCAGAGGCTGGCCTCATTGTCCGTGCTCCCTGCAGGTCAGCGAGATGGTGAAGAAGCTGCATATGGCCACACCCCCGACCTTCGGCATGGACCTCATCAATGAGCTGGTGGAGAATTTTGGCAGGTGCCCCAAGTGGTCTGGGCGACAAGCCTTTGTCTTCGTCTGCCAGGTGAGCAGGCCCAGGGGTGTCCCTGGGGATCGGCCTGGCGCCCTGGCTGGCCACCCCCATCTTCCTCACCCCTGCCTCCTCACTGCTGGGGACAGAGCCCACCAGTGGCCTCTATGTGGCTCCTGGTCTCTGCTAGTCCTTCCCTCCCTGCCAGCTGGGCACCTTCCCTGGTGACAGTACGCACGCTGTTGCGCCGTGGGGCACCCCACGTCCATGCACTCCCGCACGCCCTGTGCACCAGAGCCTGCCCCGACTCCCTCCTGCGCCCTCCTCCAGACTGTCATCGAGGACGACTGCCTCCCCATGGAGCAGTTTGCTGTGCACCTGATGCCACACCTGCTGACCCTGGCGAACGACAGGGTCCCCAACGTCCGAGTGCTGCTCGCCAAGACCCTGAGACAGACTCTGCTGGAGAAGGGTAGGTGGAGAGGGCTGGAGCATGCAGTGGGCACCAGGCTCAGGATGGCCAGGAGCCCCACGTGTATAGGAGTGCTCTGGTAGCAGGGCATGAGGCGCAGCCATAACGGGCTCCTCATTAGTGCTCTGTGCTTTTTTTAATTTTTAATCTTGGGCACTTACCATTTTTACAGCTGAAAACAGTGATGGGGGTGGGTGCTAGCATGTGGCTGTGTGCCAGTTGCTGCCTGTGCACACCGTGTGACTGCTGGGCCAGGCTAGCTGGATGCAGTGGTGCACGCCTGTAATCCAGCAACTCAGGAGGCTGAGGCAGCAGGATGGCAAATTTTTGGAGGCCAGCTCCAGTAACTCAGGCCCTGTCTCAAAAATTAAAATTTTTAAAAAAGTGTTGAGAATGTAGCTTAGTGTAGAGCACCCCTGGGTTCAATCCCAGTACCACACACTGCACTCCCGCCCCCCCCACAAACACACACATAAAAATGTAAAAGGATAAAATGGCTAGAGAAGAAGGGTTTGGCTTGGTTTTTAGAGAGAATGTGTGTGTGTGTGTTGGGGAGGGGGGGTGTTGGCAGTGTTTTAATGGCTAAAAAAGCAGTTTTTTGGGTGGTAGGGGAGGGAATTGAACTCAAGGGCACTCGACCCCTGAGCCACCTCCCCAGCCCTATTTTGGATTTGATTTAGAGATGGTCTCACTGAGTTGTTTAGGGCCTCACTTTTGCTAAGGTTGGCTTTGAACTTGAGATCCTCCTGCGTCAGCCTCCTGAGCTGCTGGGATTACAAAGGGCATATTGTGTTCATGTCTTTCTTAGTTTTCACATTCCTTAGCTGTTCTTTTTCTCCTTTTTTCCCTAATTTGTTGTCATTAGTCATACACGGCAGTAGACTGCATTTTGACACATTGTACTTACATGGAGTATAGCTTCTCCTCCTTGTGATGGAACATGCTGTGGAGTCACACAGGTCATGTGGTCAGTGTGAACACAGGTGGTGCCAGTGTCTGATTCACTCTGCTGTCCTTCCTGCCCCTGGACCCCCTCCCCTCCCTTCATTCCTCTCTGCCCCATCCTCCCCAGCTGCTCTAAATGAGATGCCCGGTGTCATAAGGACATGTGAGTGCCGTGGGTGACCGGGCACGGCCTGTGCGACACTGGTCGGCAGGCCCTGTTGGTGGTAGCTGGACTTCCTCCTTGCTGACGGTGGCTCACGATGCCCGCCTGTCCTTGCAGAGTACTTCCTGGCCTCTGCCAGCTGCTACCAGGAAGCGGTGGAGCAGACTATCATGGCCCTGCAGATGGACCAGGACAGCGACGTCAAGTACTTTGCCAGCACCCACCCTGCCACTACCAAAGTCTCCCAAGACGCCACGAGCACAGCCTCCTCGACCTACTAGGTGCCCGAGTCCTCCTGCCTCCCCGAGGCTGCGCCCTGGGCGGGGCAGAGGGAGGGAGGACGGACCCTCCCCTTGCAGACTCCACCGCAGGCGCCTGGCCCACACCGAGAGCAGGGTGAGTCAAGAGCAGTCCAGTAGACACGACTATCTTGACTTCAAGGGAAGTAACTTCTCAGAGGATTATAACTGTCACCGAAGCCTTAACTCCTTCGTCTTCCTGACTGACGACACTTGAACCGCAGGCGTCTCCCCTGTGGCCGGGACTGGCTCCCCCAGAGCTGCGCTGCTCTCTCCCTGGTCACTGAGATCCTCGGAGCCAGAGGCCACGCGCACCCAGGCGGAAGACCTTCAGCATTGCCGTCTGCCGCCGGGCCAAGAGTCCCGCTGGGCGCAGGAGGAGGAGGCTGTGGGCGGGTCTCCCGAGGGCTGAGGCTGACACTGCAGTGGAGTCTGATTTTAACTCAGATGCAGCATATTGCTGTGCGCACTTACAGACGTTTGCTGGTGTCTCTGTCCTGGAGTTTCTCATGCTGGTCATGACTGAAGGAGATTTCTTAGCACGCATATTGTTACGTCGGGGTTTTTAACTTGATCATGGTCAGCTCCGAGGGGCGACTTTTCTTCACATGCTGTACATACCTGTGACCACTCTTGGGAGTGCTGCAGTCTTAATCATGCTGTTGGAACTGTCGAGGCACAAGTTCTCTTGTCCAAATAAAGTTTATTAATAAGATCTATACAGAGAGGTGTTTACACTTTGGATTGTTTTCTAGATGTCTACAAATAAATGCAATTTGTGACCTGTATTAATGATTTAGTATAAATGGGGAAACTAGATTAAAATATTGGTCTTTTAAATAGCACGGTGGTCTGTCTGGACTCTGCCTGTATTGTCTGCTCGGGTGTCCTCTTGGCAGAGGCCAGGCCTCCTGAGCTTCCCTCCGCAGCCTCAGGTGACCAGAACAGGATGCTAACCCGGGCATCTCGGCCTCGTCTGTAAAGTAGGGTCAGTACCTGCCCTTCCCACAGGAGGCCATCAGAGGTGCTTCTAGAAGGTGCCGTGTGTACACCTGGTGTCCCCGGAGCCCAGGGTGAAAGCCCAGCACTCCCTGGTGGTGGTGCTGCTTACGCACAGTGGGGACTTCAGGAAGTGGACCCTGGGTGTGGGTGGGGAGGTACCAGCTGCCTCTTGTGTGACCGGCCTTGGTTTGTTCTTGCTTCGTGGGCCCTGGTGGGGGGGGGGGGTCGTCCAGGCAAATGCCAACCAGCAGATGGGACCTCCCGATGTCCCTTAGCCGAGATCCGAGGTGCGGGCTTCCTGCTATTCCCACCGTGACGCCCTCTTCCCTCAGGACTCGGCCTTGTGCACCGCAATGTGTCCTGCACAGCTGCCTTTTAGAAGGTGGCAGTGGGGATGTGCACTTCGGCGTGGAGAGCTCATGCCTGGGGTGTCAGAGTGCCCAAGCCGGCTCTCTAGCTTGGTGCTGCTGCCCTCCAGTCCCCTCTTGGTTTTCCTGTGTGACCTCAGTTCCCACGTGAGTGGACACAGGCACCGCGTCATTTAGTAGCTCCCATCAGTGCGTCCCAGGTTCTCCCATGCTGGGCCAGCTGACGAGCCCCTCTCTGGCCTCCCCTGTCTGCTGGTGGCTGTGGTGTGCACGGTGAGCTGAGGGATGGCCTTCCTTCAGGAAGGGGCGCTGGGTCCTGTCCACTGTGCAGCCCTCACTGCACAAGCTCTGCTGAGAGAGAAAACTGGGCATCTAAGCAGCATGGAACCGTGCAGAGAGGGGACATGTGTCCAGAGCTCATGAAATCTCCATCCAGGATGCGGAAAAACCGGCAAACATAAAAAGGTGACATTCCCATAACAGTTGTCTGCGCTGGCATGGTGGCCACACCTGTCATCACAGCCACTTGGCCAAGGCAGGAGAGCGAGTTGTAGGCCAGTCTGGGCAGCCTAGTCAGCCCCTGTCTCAAATATGGGCTGGGTGGTAGTTCAGTGGTAAAGGGCCCGGGGTTCTCTCCCCAGTACCAAGGACAACAAACAGCATGTAGTGCTGGGCACGGTGGCCCACGCCTGTCACCCCAGGACTCGGGAGGCTGAGGCAGGCAGATGGCAAGTTCAAAGCCAGCTTCAGCAACAGTGAGGCCCTAAGCAACTCAGTGAGGTCCTGTCTCTAAATCAAATCCAAAACAGGGCTGGGGTGTAGGGGTCGAGGGCCCTGGGTTTAATCTCGAGGTCCCCCCCCCCAAAAAAAAAAAAAAAAAACCAGCATGTAAATAATACAAATGGGAATGAATGCGTGATAGGGTCTAATGCCGGAGCTAATCTGAGACTGTCCTGAGCCACTAGGGGCTTTTGAGAAACTGGGGATGGAGAGGACAGCCACATCTTTCAGTCCCCCAGGAACTGGTGTGACTGCAGTTTCCCACCCCCAGCCTCCCCTGGCAGCACCCGCTTGCCCTCCCCTTGTTTGGGAGGAGGAAGTTTTTCCACCTTTGTGGGTTCCCTGTGGCCCTTGTTGACTCCCCAGGAAGCCAGGCTACCTGCTCGGCTGCTTGAGGGGCGCGTGAGCTATGTCCTGAAGTCCCGGTGGTACCTGTCAGTTTCTTCTAGAACCCTCTGACTCCCAGGGTCAGCCATGCCTGAGTGGTACAGTGGTCAGTGTGCCTGCCTCTGGCAGGGATGCCTGCCTCGGGGGTCTGCAGCCATGGGGCAGGGACGCCTCCTTGGGGCTTGTCATCCTCTCTGGGCATTGGTGTGACACCTGCTCCCTTCTCTTGGTTGACAGAAGTTCCCCTTTACATTGGGCCAGTCTATGTCCAGGGGAGCGGGTTGTGCCTGGCCTGGGAAGGTTGGGGCAAAAGTCCCCAAACAGTTCAGGGGCTGCGTGGTCATCAAGACTGTGCTGACCGCTGTGGGGAGATGACACGGGCAGGCCCAGCCCCTGGTGCGCAGGAACGCTTCTGTGGATAGTTCAGGATGGAACTTATGATGAGGCAAGGGAGGAAAAGAGCAACTCCAAGCTCAAAACGTGGGTTTGGGGCGGGGGCTTGTCACTGAGCCACCTCCCCTGACCGTTCTTAATTCTTTTTGATGATTTTTAGTTGTAGATGGACATAGTGCCTTTATTTAGCTAGTTTTATATAGTGCTAAGGATGGAACCCAGTGCCACACACTGGGCCAATACCCCAGCCCCCTTTCTTATGTTTGAGACGGGGTCTCACTGAGTTGCTGAGGATGGCCTTGAACTTGAGATCCCCCTTCCTCAGCCTCAGAGTCACTGGGATCCCAGGTGTGCGCCACCCACCCCCAGCTTCAGTCAGCTCCTGTGCTGTGTGACTGTTCCACGCTGGATGTCAGTAATTGTCACTAATTGGCTGCCAGGCAGCTGCGAGTAGCATTTTGACCTGTTCATGAGACAATAGGGCACAGCTCACAGTTCTTGACAGAGATCCTTGAGTCAGACTTGTCCCCAGCAGATGCCAGCATAGTGCAGGGCCAGCCTGGCCCCCAGGAGCTAAGGTGTGGAGGACAGGGGACAGGGAGGGCTCAGGAGGTGGGCAGCGGGACCACAGACTCTGCTGGGTGGCTTAGTTGTTGTGTTTGCTTTTATTTTTAGATGGACACAACCTTTATTTATTTAGTTTTATGTGGTGCTGGGGCTCGAACCCAGGGCCTCACACGTGCCAGGCGAGCGCTCTGCCGCTGAGCCAGCCCCACCCCAGGTTAGCTGGTTCTGAAAGCTGGCGACATTGGTGATTGAGGAGAGCGTCCGGCCATGTTCCCGTGTGTCAGTGGCTGGGGACCCCCTCAGATGCAGACCCCATCTGTAGGTCTGGGTGGGCTGAGACCTGGTTCCCAGGGAGACTCTGGTAGCCAAGCCCAGGAGTAATGTGCTGCTGTGGCACTCGCTTCTCAAAGCACGAAGACGTCTGACCACTTGCACTGGCCCTGTGTCGAGGCTCACGACCCCTGGGGAGGCCCACTCTGCCTACCCACATCATGGCAGCCCCTGGCTCCGAATCAGGCTGTTCACACTGGCATTTTAAGTTGGGGGCAGAGAACTACTGAGGGTTCTGTTTCCCACTCCCCTCTGACCACCCTCCGACCTTCCCTCCGACCTCCCCTCTGACCTCGCCTCCAACCAGGTCCTGGGGTGCCCTGCGCTTGGTCCCACACTTGGTGGTTCTGGTTTCTCTTCTCAACCAGCCTCTCCGGTCATCCTGGTCATCCTGACCTCTGGACCATCTGCCAGTGGAGACAGCAAGATGGTCAGACCTGGCAAATCAGAACACAAGGCCCGGTTCCAGTCGCCCAAGACCCAGGAGTACGAGAGATCATCCCTGCTGGCTGAAGCGCAGGCGAGGGGCGTCCACACATGACAGGTCACCCCTAGGAAGGGCAACATGAGCAGGCTCAGGCCCAGAACCCGCCCCACGCCCTCCCTGGGGGCCCTCCGGGGGGCAGACACCCAGGACGGCCTGGCTTAGCCTGCAGGGCCACCAGCCTCGCCTCCCAGCCTCCTCTCCAGAGCAGATGGCACCTGCTGTGCAGACCTCTCTTCACAGGCAGTCATGTGGGGCAAGGTTTTTAAAAGTCCCTACGAGGGAAGCAGAGTTGGCTGGGCTTTTCCAGAAAGGTAGCCTTTCAAAGAGGAGGCCCTGGCCCTCTCCGCTTATAGCTGGTGCTCAGCCATCCCTGTCCATCTCCCCTGCTCTGACCCCATGGCTAGTGGTGACTGCAGAGATGGCCATGGCCCATGGCAGGAGCGTCCCTGCCATGCTGTCCTGGGTGCAGCTGACAAATGAACCATCATCTTGTTCTGACTGGCTCTGGGACATTGTGATACAGTGATAAGTCAGACATCTCGTCTTGCAGGGGACGACTTGAGGATAATGCTGACGACCAGCACTGGGGACACACGTGTACACTTCTGCCCTGTTAAACAGCTGGGGAGGTTGCGAAGGGTGGGCATGTGGTTCCCGTAAGGCCCAGGCTCTGCCGTACACGCGGCCCTTCTCTGGAAGCCATTTGCTGGCAGGAGACCTGCCCACAGCTCAGTGCCACTTAGCAGCACTGCCAAGTGTCGGCTCAGCCACCCAAGTCAAGCACTGTGGGAGCCAAGAGGGATGGGACGGGTGCCTAGGGCCTGTGGGCGCAGCAAATTCAGGGACACCAGAGGATGAGACAGACAGCAGATGTGACTTTGATACTGTGGATACACCTGATGCTCCTCCCGCCTCTGCTGTACTAGAAAACCTTCTTTTGTGTCATGCTAATGTAACAGCAAAGTCCCCAAACTAAAGAGGGAGAAGCCATCAAGTTGCAGGTGTGAAGGGGAGGGAGGAACACAGCAGCAGCTCTGTCTTTATGCTCCACCAAAGGAGCCCGTGGGCGAGACTTAAGGACTCCTTCAGGTACCTTCCTGGCACTTCACGGGTCTCCTCAGTCCTAGCACAGAAGTTTCTCATCATACGTGCTGGGACAATGTCTATCTACCTTGTTTTGAAGTCTTTGCTTTCTCCATGACTCAAGACCTTCCCCCTGGACCTTGAATGACAGCAAGGAGCACGAAGTTCCTGCATCACAACCAGAAACACATAATGGAACATTCCAGAAAGCCCAGTCTGCTGCCTGGTCAGTTGGCTAGGCTCCAAAGGTGGGTTTGCTTTTAAGGTATTCTAGTATTCATTGTACCTGGTGCTGATTCAATAAAGACTGTCAAATAAAAAGAAATGTATTCTACAGCAGAGAAGAAGTTGCAATGAAAAAAATGTCACACAGGCACTAGGTCCCATCTTGGAATGCTATACACAGAGCTTAAAGGGTGATTCTGGTGGAAGCTCAGAAGATAGAATGCCAACAGGACTGTGGACAGTAAAGACTGGGCTCATGAGGTTTCAGAGGAGGATAGCTCTATTATGTTCTGGCAAAGAAGTTGTCTATATTTTGTGTCCAACTTTCTGTGAGATTGAATTTAAAAGTGATGGACTGACACGTGGTGGCACATACCTGTCATCCCAGTGGCTCAGGAGGCTGAGGCAGGAAGATCACAAATTCAAAGCCAGCCCCAGAAACTTAGCAGGGCCCTAAGCAAGTTAGCAAGACCCTCTCTCTAAATGGGAAAAAAAAAAAAAAAAAAAAAAAGGTTGGAGATGTGGTTAGGTGGTTGGATGCCCCTGGGTTCAATCCTTGGTATTAAAAAAAAAGAAAGTGATGAACTAACAGAGGAAATTTCAAGGTAGCCCAGCATTCAGGGGGTGGCTTGGATATTGCTGGTGACTTTTAACCATGTTTACTGCAGTCATCAGGAGCAGAAGGGTTTTAGAAACTTGCAGTTTGGCCAGAAAAGTACAAGTAAAACTGGGCTGAGGAAGGTGTAGTTGTTATGGTCGTTAGAGGGGTTACAGAGAAGCTGAGCACTTCACCCAGAAACATCAGGCAGAAAGTGGCAAGACCACATCCACCTCAGGCTCAAAGATGTGAAAGTAAAAGTTCCTTTGAGAAAAGACCAGCGGGGTGCCCTGCTTGTAGAGCAGCTAGGAAAGTGTCTCACAATGCTCAGCCACCAGGTGCTCAGGCACTGCAGCTGGGTCCTGGCTACTGCTCCAGACAAACCATGTGGCTGGTTCTGCAAGAAAACAGGGTGCTGGATGCAGGGGTCCTGGAGGCTCCCACCAAGCTTCAGAGGAAGGCCTGGGGCCAGGCAGAGTGCAGAGGGCCGGAGTCCTGCGGCTGCTGCTGACAGGGCGATGCATGGACACGTGGGAGGGAAACCAAAGCTGTGGAACCACCTGGAAACAGGTCACATGGGCCACCACCAAGGCCACAGGGACGAACCCCACGACCTTGGAGAGAAGTGGAGCAGGCCACAGGTGCGAAGCCGGCTGGTGTGCAGCTGTCCCTACACTTGCTTGCCAGCTGGTTTCAGTCTTCCTCGTCCCATCCCAGCCCCCATGCCTGGCTTCTCCCCTTCGGGATGGAGGTTTACTCTGTGCCATTATATATTAGGCACATGTGACTTGTCCTTCAACTTTTAAAGAGGCTCGTGCTGAGAGTTTGAGTCTGAGGAGGTTTGGGATTTGACATTGGGGTAACGCTGAGACTGTTAAGAGTAAGGGGAATCTTGGGCTGGGCTGGGCTGGGCTCAGCGGCAGAGCCCTTGCCTAGCACATGTGGCCCTGGATTCGCTCCTCAGCACCACATATAGGTAAATAAATAAAGGTATTGTGTCCACCACAACTAAAAAAAAAAATTAAAATTAAAAAAAAAAAAAAAACAGCATATGGGGAACCTCTTGGAAACGCACTGCATGGGTTCTGCACTGTGAGATGGGCAAGAGCTTTGGAGGGCTAGGGTTGAAAGGTTATGGCTTAGACATGAGATGTCCCCCAAAAGTTCATGTGTGCGGCAACTCGAGAGGTTTCAGAGGTGAAATTAGATAACAAGGGATGTGACCTAACAAGTGGATTAATTCACTGACATGGATTAACCAGGTGGCCACTTCGCTTAGGTAAGGTGTGCTGGCCAGAGCAGGTCCTGCCGTGGCAGGTCTTTTGTACCTGTGAGCAGGGCACTGTCTGCTTCCTGTGCCACGACGCTCTGCACCACCGAGTCCAGGCATACGGTGTCAGCTGACCATGGAGTGACCTCCGAAACACGTTTCCTCCTCTAGGTTATTCTGCCAGCTAGTCTGGCCACAGCAGTGGAAAAACTGACCACACACACACATATTGACCTCTCGTCTGAAACGCCCACTTCTGTGAACGCGTCACCTGGGCCTTGCTGGGCCGGCGGCAGGTGAGAGGAGCCCTAGCCTCCCCTGCAGACCACTGGCAGCCCACAGCGGGGTTTGCAAACCCAGGTTGGGTTAGTCACTGGGACGGGCCACTCTGTACATCTCCACCGGAAGTGAGGGCAACAGATATGAACAGATGCCAGCCAGGACCCCCACCACAGTGCTGGTGGGGAGCCCTCCTTGCTGGGGAGGACACCCGCCTCAGGCTCCCTGTGCCGCTTCCTAGGTTCCTCTCAGGAAGAGGGGTGCAGGACTGAGGTGGCCATCAGAGGCATACAAGGGGGACACGCCAGGCAAGGCATTCCTGCCCGTGAGGAAGTGCCCAGACCCACCCCTCAGCCGTAGCCTGCTCGGCTGTTCCAGAGAAAGAAGGTGCACGAGGTCACAGCAGGCGGCGTTTCCCCAATGGCTGTTGAATTTATTTGCTCAATCAATAATGGTCCTGGCAAAAATTAGTTCACCAACACTGAGACAGTTGTAACGAGACACTGATTTTAAAAACCCATGATACCATTGTAGAAATCAGAGTTCACACCAACAGAAGAAACCTTCAGTATTGCCAGCAAATACAAAATGAACGTAAGATGTCGGACAGAACAGCAAGAAGGCGTTTATACATTTATATTTGACACCTGACCATATTTCAGTCACCATAATATCTTCTCTCCAGATTTAAAAAAATAGTATGCTGATTTCTATAACAAAGCTTTTTTTTCGTACAAAAATCAAATAATGGCCGACAAGTCACAACAGTGCAATAGGTAGAGGATAAAAAACCGCATCAGACAGGTGCTGGAAATAAATACTAACCAGGAGGAGGACAGGGCCTCGGGGTGCATGGGGTCTGTCTGCAGAGCTGCAGGTGGCCTCTCGGGGCCAGCCAGCGAGCAGCTGCCTCAGGAGCCTGGCCTCCCAGGAGCCTCCCAGCAGCCATCTGATCTGACGGGCCAGAAGCAAAAGGGGCGTCCCAGTTACCCCCAGGAGGCGTCTCTTCCTATTGCTCGATCCTGTCGTCGGGGTCCCTCAGCGGGCTCACTAAGGGCAGGGACGACCTACCTTGGTGTAGGAGCATACATATGGCTTATTCAGGCAGAGACGGGTACATTCTAGCCCAAGCAAGCAATCCAGGTCACTGCTGACGGGAGGGTCTGTCACGCGGAAGGTTTCGGGTTTGAGAAACATTGGTGGGTGGATGCCTCGGGGCGAGGGGGCCGCCTCCGGCCGCCCCAGTGCAAAGGCCTCTGCTGATCACTGGCAGTGAGTAGCCGGAGCCTGCGGGCAGGGCGGGCAGGCTCCACGCAGCCTCCGCCTGCCACCGAGGCCACCTGGTGTCGGGCTGCGGACTGTGGTTCAGAACTGTGGGAGGGCTACAGTGGGCAAAGGGACCCGAGAGCCACCGGCCGGCCGGCACAAGGGAGGCAGCTCCCCGAATGGTCTGCACCGAGGAGGTGTGAAAGGCACAAGCAGGAGCCCGGGCCGCAGCCACAGGCGGCGCAGAGACCTGGCTTGGTGTCCCCACCTTAATGAGATCCTGATTCTGCTGTGATAGAAAAGCAAAGAAACACGATTTTTTGGTTTAAAAAGAAGCCACTCAAGGGTTAAAATAGTTATTTTAAGTTAACAAAGAAAATTAATTCCCCATAAGCTGACACTATCTGGAAAACGTCCGCTGCTCCGTCCCTGGGACCCTGAGCCTGACGAGCCGACGTGACGAGGAGTCTGAGGAGAGAAGGCGTCTTTACAGAAGGGACAGCGCCGGCCGCACTGGGCACTCTGGGCCACAGGCACCTTCCAGCGCCACTGCCCGGGCGCTCAGAGGGGCGTCTCCCGGCGGTCTCTGCTGGGCGACGGCTTCGCGGGCTCCTTGCCAGCCTTCACCTCGGGCGCACCATCGCGGGGCTCCTCGTCCTCGGGCTGCTCGGCCCTGGCACGCTGTGTCTGGAGCAGGCGCAGCTGCACCCGCAGCTCGATGATGGCCTCGCGCTCCTCATGGACGGCCTGGTTCAAGTGGTTGTTCTTTATCTTGAGAGTGTCAGAGAGAGGCGGTCAGAGGGCGGCCAGCAGGGCAGCAGGACTCCGCCCCCACGCCAGCCCAGGACCTGACTCCAGAGCATGACCCCATCTTCAAAGCGTCACCCTGGCTGCAAAGCGTCACCATGCAGAAAGGACATGGTGGCCTGAATGAGCACCCTAGTGCTGGGAACAGAGGGACAGCCTAGCTTCCCAAAGCTTTAAGGACAAAAGAGAAGGGACATTAGCAATAGAGAGGGAGGAGTCAGGCAGGGTGGGAGCGGATCCCTCTATGACAGGGCTGTCCCTCCTGTGAACGGGGCCACTCAGCCTACAGAAAGCCACCGTCCACCCTGGATAGCAGCACCCACTCCGCAGAGTTGGGGGTGCTGAGCGGCAGCAGACCCACACTGCCCACCCCCTTCCTCCCGGGTGTGCCCAGCTCCGGGCAGTGGGGCTGAGGGTGTCGGCCTCGTGAGGGTGGGCACAGCGGGCTCCCTCAGCACCTGGCCGAATCCTCCCTCCCACCTGAAGGGGAAGGCAGCGCCACTCGGCCCAGTGGAGAGGCCACCTGCCTGGAAGGGAGATGGCACTTGGGTCCCACCTGCCACTCTCTGCTGCGGCAGCTCACCCCTGCCCCCACCCTAAGGACTTGCTTGGGATTTTGCTTCTGTGCTTCAGGACTGCGACATGCCCCGTAACACGGAAGGGAAGCAGACTAAGGGCCCCCTCGAGGCCTTCCCAAGGCCTCCCCCTGCAGTGGTGACTGCCCCAACTTTGGGCCTCCAGGGCAGCCGCTCGGCACTCTGGCCCACGCTTCTGGAGGACTCCGCGGTCCTGTCTCGGCTCACTCATCATCGCAGGCCACCACCTATCTGTATTGGGGACGGAACCCCAGGCCCATCACCCCCAGCTGCCCCCGGTCTGTTTCACTTTAACATGTGCCGAGATAGGGGCCTGCCCCGTGGCCGAGCAGCCCGGAACCTGCCACGCTCCTGCCCGGCCTTCTTCTGTCCTCGGGCAGGTGTGGCACGCTTGGCCCCAGCCACCGAGCGAGCCACCGAGGGGAGTGGAGCTGCTTCACTCAGGGAGGAGGGAGGGCCTGAGCACCCGGCCTGCCGCCCGCTAACTGTGCCCTGGCCCCAGTTCCCGAGAGCCACGGCTCACCGCTGCTTTGTGGGCTGAAGGCCAGGGAAGCAGTCACCACTCGGCCCTCAGGGAGACCCGGGCCTGCTCCCTCCACTAGCCTGACTGTGCTGCTCCTGTCTGGGAACAGAGACCGTCTCCCTGCCAGGCAAGTGGCCTCTCCCCTGGGCCCAGAGTGGGGATGGGGGCCCCATGGGAAGGCGGCCAGGTGCACTGGCCTCTGAGGGTGGGTCCAGGAGGCGCTCCATCATTGGGGTCACCACACATCACACCCGCCTGAGGACACCCTGCCAGCAGCCCAGGCCCACCAACTCTGGGGTGTGATCCCCCTAAGATCCTCTGAGCCATGGCCCAGGAAAGCCCAGAGGCAGAGTGCACCCACAGCCTTCCGGAAACCCCCGCCCAGCCACCCGCATGCACCTCCAGCTCCTCGTTCTGCCTCTGCAAGTCCTCCAGGATGAGCTGCAGCTCCTCCTCGTCCTCGCTCTCGCTCTCGCTCTCCGAGGAGTACTCCTCTGTCTCGCTCCGGCCATGCTGCTGGCGACTGTGGGGAGAGGCCAGGGCGCTTTATGAGGTACACTGCCCCGCCCCAGACCCAGGGGCACTTTACGGGGTGCGTCTATCCCCCCCCTCAGACCCAGGGGCACCTTACAGGGTGTGCCTGTCCCCCACCTCCTCAGACCCAGGGGCACTTTATGGGGTGCGCCTGTCCCACCCCCGTCAGACTCAGGGGCACTTTACGGGGTGTGCCTGTCCCACCCCCCCGTCAGACTCAGGGGCACTTTATGGAGTGCACCTGTCCCCCCTTCCTCAGACCCAGCCCCGCTCCTGAATCTGCAGGAGCCAGAGGCTGCTGCTCAGGGGGGCCTGGGGGCAGGAGACGCCGGGCAGCACCGAGCCCTGGGCACCCCTGCCCTACCTCTGGATCTCGGCAATCTCGGCTCTGAGGCGCTCGATCTCCTCCTTCTCGGCGGCGATCTGCCGGCGCAGGAACTGCTCCATGGCCAGGAGCTCTTCCTGCTCCGTCAGGATCTCGTTTTCCTAAAGGAAGAGCACTGTGAGCCCTCGCAGCTCCCAGCCTAGGGGACGTCACTGCTCTGAGGTCTCTTCAGCCCCGTTCTGTGTTGAGCCCAAGGCACAAAATGTGTAACCAGAAGAAGGATTTCCTGGGCCGAGAAGAGGCCTTGATACAGCACACAGAGCCTCTGGAAGGAAGGACTCTTCTCTCCCTGCTCCCCTGCAGCCAAGGCTGTAAGGCCGGACCCTGCAAGGCCAGGTGCGGTTGGCCCACAGTGGCTTCCCAGGAGGCAGAGTCCCCGCAGGCCTTCTACCACCGCAGGGAGGGAGCCAAGAGCGGGCAGCTCAGAGGAGGAGAGGAGGGCACGGAAGGCACCCTAGCAGGCCATGCTGTGAGGAGGTCCCACCCTGTGAGGAGACGGTGAACTGTCTGCTTTGGCAGAATTTCCAGTTATAAAACTCGAGTCACAGCTTCGGGAAAAGAGAATGGAAAAATCACTCTCTGCCCATGATCCAGAGAGTCCAACCTAGAGGAAAGCAGCAGTGCTGGTGAAACCCAGGATGCCACAGACCCTGCCTGTGGGAGGAGCAGCTGGCTGTGGGCCTTCACAGCCAGCTCTTTCCTTCCCAGCAAACAGGAACCGGAGGAGTGAACGGGAGGAAGCCCGGGTGCTCCTGCTTTGGCCAACCCAGGGAGGCTGACGCATATAAGCTGAAGTGGTTTTAATAAGATTTAGTGATATTTACGTAGCCACATTCTCCTTTTTTTTTTTTTTTTTTAATATTTACTTGACCATTATGACTTTTAATTCATGGCATCTTTATCAGTAAACTGAAAAGGTCTATTAGCAGAACAAGTTGGGAGATAATAAGAATTTGTGATAAGCATTTGAATGAAACTAAACACTGTAAATACTGCATGTTATTTATAAATCAAAGAGAATATTTATTCTCAAACTCTCAAATGTGTATGAAGTTCTAGGCTGTAAGAGTTGATAGTTTTATGTATGATTTTATAGGTTAAGTTATTTACATATGAAGCAAAATAGGAAACTATACTGAGAAAGGATTATGTTTACAGAGGCCTTCTTAATGTGTCATATTTCTTAAATGTTTTTTGGTGATACTGGGGATTGAACCCTGGTGCATTCCACTAAATCACATCCCCAACCTAATTTATTATATAAATTATAATATAATTTATTTATTATATAAATAAAAAATATATATGTTTATTTGAGACTGGGTCTGGTGATATTGTTCAGGCTGGCCTTGAACTTGTGATCTTCTTGCTTCAGCCTCCCAGATAGCTGGGATTAGGTGTATGTCACTGCTGCTGGCTTCAAATGTATTAGTATTTTTTTAATGCATACTCCAGTAAAGAAATAAAATGATACAATTCCAATGCTGTACATGTTACAATAACAAAAATAAAACCATATTGGTGGGGGAAAAAAAAAGAGTCAGGCTGAAAACCCTGGGGTGAAGGCCTGGTCCAGGACTCTACTCCTGGGCAGTTATGTGCCCCCACTGGACCAGGCAAGGGCCAGAAACACCCAAATCTGCAGGACCGGGAGCCACACTGAGCTCAAAGGCCACACAGACCAGGCAGGCAGAGCCTCGATGCCATTCCTTTCTGGTTGGATTCTGGAAACTTCCAGAACAGTGTACCTGATATGAGAATTCAGAAAGACATGAGCTCAGGCCTGCTCTGTACCTGAACCAATGAAAGATAAAAACCTGCCTCTGACAACTGATTTCACCTGCACAGCAGACATGGGACCATCCACATGTTGTCAGCAACAGCAATCATTTAAAACCTAACCTTACACTTCACGGATCCCACATTTTAGACAGTAGGAACATATTCTAAGACTCAAGTCTGGTCTCATTAATGTGGAACAAATGCCACTAACATGTAGATACAACACCTCAGACTTGGGGTGGACTCAGGGGATTAAGCAGGACCTTTAGGTAGCACCCTGTAAGGAGAATCAGCACAAGGCCACCCCTCCTGCAGCTGAACCTGCAGCACACACGAGGCAGTGCCAAAGCCACAGGCTCGGCCCTTGGTCCCCTTCTGTGATTTTGGTGAAAAGAGCCTAGAGTTGAGTTTCTTATACTGTAAGTTAAAACTGACAGTTCAGAGACTTACAAAATGGAGACAAAGAGTTAGCTTACCTGGGCAAGGAGAATGTTTATGACTTCTTCATTTTCATTCATTTCTTCTTTGGAAATGTCCTCCTTTGAGGCTATCTCTTGTGCAATCTTGGTTTCACACTCCTGTGGAACAAGACAAGTAAGAGAACCCGTCAGTCTATAGGGAACACATCCTTAGCGAATCCACACCACCACAATCCAGGAGCCTCCCTCTCACTTCATATGACTGGAAGGAGTCACAGGAACAGGTGAACCACATACAAGGGCGGGCAGCTGCTAACTGGCCTGGAACAGGATATAGGGCCCAATCGGCCTGCACCATGCAGATGCACCTTCCAGTGGGTGTGCCTGCCAGCTCTGGAACCCTTCTGCATAAATGACCCTCTGTGGGGCTCTGAAGGGCTGCTAGCATGTCCATTTTTAGTGTATGATTTAACTAGTTGCGACAACTACAAAGTCAAATGACCACGATGACCACCATCCACAATGACCATCATCATGCTATGGAACAGTCCACCATCAGAGAGCCCTGTGGTTGCGCCACCACCTGATGGCTCCCAGCAGCCACCCACCTCCTCCCACTACTATGTATGGTTCTTGCTTCTCAAGTCTCCTATAAACTAAACCTATCACTCATCTTTCTCTCGTTTTTTTTTTTTTTTTTTTTTGGTACTAGGGATAGAACCCAGAGGGCTCTTAGCTATACCCCCAGCCCTCTGTAATTTTTCTGACAAGTCTCACTAAGGTGCTGAGGCTGGCCTTGAACTTGTGATCCTCACATCTCAGCCTCCAGCATCACTGGATCTCAGTGTGGGCACCACGCCCAGCTTCCTCTAGCTGCTTTACCACACACTGCTTTAAGACTCCTATTAGGCTCGCATCACAGCAGATGAGATGAGCTTCAGCCTCCTCGTGAGGCCTGGGCAGAGGTCACTAGCTCCAATTCCAGGCTGATACACCAAGGGAAGAGTTTGACTATGAAAACCAGGCATGGGAATGGGAGAAAAGCTGGGGGCTGGAGAGGAGGAGGGAGCCCATCTGTGGCAGCTTTTGTGGGCCTGTCCTCTGGGCTACTGTGAAGCACAGCAGTCGAGACGCCCTCAGGGCAGCACCCAGTCTTCCCACACAACCCCACAGTGCCCCTTCTGCTCTCTCAGCCTAGCGAGCACCAGCTAGTGTTCTCAGGACCCGCCACTGGGTCTCGGGATGGGCCTAAGATGGTACAGAAGTGGGGGGCGTCTTGCTCTGGTGCCGCTGGGAAGCTCCAGTCCCAGCTGAACATTACAGGTGAGGCCAGAAAATCAGAGTCCAGCTGTGGACTCTTCCTAGAATTAGGTGACAGCGTCCCCCATCTCCAAGACCTTCTAGGCAGCCCTCATCATAGCACTTTCCAAAGAGCCGACTCTTCCCCTGGGTTTCCGCTACCCCAGCAGGGCCTGAAGACAAGTCACCCGCCTGCCTGCTATCTGCAGAAGGCTCTATCCACAGTTTTATTATTTTATATAAACATGAAATGCCAAAATAATAAATCCACTCACCTGTCTTTTAGCTTCTCTCAGTTTTCTTTTGAGGGCTGTCAAAATTCTTTGTACTTCCCATAATCTTTCTTCTTTAAATAAATCCTTTATCCCACCCTGCAGATCTCGATGTAAACAATTCAAAAGAAACTCCTAGAAAACAACAGCACATACCAAATAGTACTCCATGTCTCACGACATAAAAATCATGTGCAGATTAGCTCCTTCTCCGTCCAGCGGTGGCATGACAGTAGTGCTGCCTTCCAGGGGGCCTGTGAGTCCCGCCTGGCCCGCCTGAGTGGGGTTCCCCCTCACTGATGCAGCTCGCTCACTCCCCGCGCCCTTCCCTCACACCATCAACTGATGAGAAATGGGGACTTGAAGAGATAAGGGAAGAGAAGCAAGGATTTGATAATGTGCATGCACAATAAGCAAATGCATAAATTGTCAAATATATGTAAATTTCCTTAAAAGTCCTGAATGTTTTTCTCATCTATATACCCAGAGCAGCCCTTGCATCAAGGTAGCACAGTGAAAAGCCAGGATTTGGCCTCACTCTGGTTGCACAGCCTAACAGTCATGTGACATAAATTATTCACTTCCCTAAATTCCAGGGTGCTTATCAGTAAGGTAAGGACTTCCAGGTGGCAATATCAGCAACTCTGTCCACACAACAGAGGTTTCTTAGAGACAGTGACTGTCTTGGGCTGAGACTTCTCACATTATCTCACCGGGAACTCCTAATATCAGCCCCATATGGGTATCTATTTAAAAAATAAGACACCAGCGCCTCAGGAGGTTGGCGATTTACCTGAAATCAGTACATTAACAAGAAGCAGAACAGGAGTTCCCACCAGGTCTCCAGTTCTCAAGACCAAAGCTCTCCCACCGGGACATGCTGACTTATGTGGCACCCAACGCCAGCTGGAGAGGCCTGGCTTCCTACACAGGGGGACAGGTGCAGGAAGCAGAGACTGTCCTGGCTCCACCATGCTGGGCCACGGAGTGGCAGGCGTGGTGCAGCGTGAGGCACGCACCTGTCTCCGGATCTCCTCCTTGATACCCGCCTGGGTCTCTGGCAGCGTGGGCATGGTGGCCATGTTCGACCACCGCAGAGGTCTTGTCACTTGCTTTAGTACCACGTTTCCAAAGAGCTCTTGCACATGTGTGAAGAGCACATACAGCACACGATTGCTGATCTGGGGATGAGATTGCAAGGAGATAGTTAAAATTGTCATTTTGTTTCATTTGCGTCTCCAGGCCGTGCAACCTTTAACCCTAGACTCAGAAGTACAAGGCAGGCTGTGCTCATCAATGGCCAATTTAAGAAGAAAATCACAAAATCTGAGTTAAATCATATGCTCAAACACCATGAGGATGGAAGCGAAAAACAGGCCAGAAAAGGGACACAAAGCTGACGACTCTGTTATCGTTTTTGATGACTATGATATTAGCTGATTTAAAAAACAGATGCTCTTCATTTCCAACATTTAGAGACACCACGTCCACCCATACCAGCAGCTCCTCCCATGAACCAGGCAAATGCTAGAGCACCCACAGGGGTAGGGCTGGCCAGGACCCAGCATGGCTCCAGAGCCAGGGCCTCCAGATACACCTGCATGGCCAGCGTTCAAAGGTGGCGGCCACTCTGCGCTAAGGACAGGACGAAGCTGAACTGCTGTGAGAAGCTCTTTCCCACACTTACTCCTACAACTCACTGGGATCTGCAGCAACAAGGGTCCACAGCAGGGTAACATTAAGTAACAATGTAACATTCACCAAATGCTAAACTCCCAACTGGTAGAAATGATCATTATATTTTGAGAAACTTGAAAATATTTTTCTCCCAAAATATAATAAATATCCGGGCACAGTGGCACATGCCTGTCATCCCAGCAGCTCAGGAGGCTGAGGCAGGAGGATCACGAGTTCAAAGCCAGCCTCAGCAAAAGCACGCACGGCACTAAGCAACTCAGTGAGACCCTGTCAGTAAATAAAATACAAAATAGGGCTGGGGATGTGGTTCAGTGGCCAAGTGCTCAAGTCCAATCTCTGGTACCAAAAAAAGAAAAAAAAAAAAAAAAAAAATATATATATATATATATAAAATCAACATGCAGTAAAAGAATCTTTAGTGAAATAAAACATACTCTTATAACAGTGACAATGATTTATGGTCAGTGGCCTGTATGCTGGCCAAAAAGAGGACTGAAAATAAAAATTCACCACTATTTCCTGAGTAAAATATCAGTAACAGGGCTGGGGCTGGGGCTGGGGCTGAGTGGTAGAGCACTCGCGTCGCACATGTGAGGCGCTGGGTTCGATCCTCAGCACCACATAAAAATAAATAAATAAAATAAAGGTATTAAAAAATAATAAAATAGATATTAAAAAAAGTATATCAGTAACTCGAGAGGAGAACATACCCTGACGCAGGCTCACCTGAGCAGCAGTAAAGGCAAGCCAATCACAGGTACAGAAAGACACCAATGGACACACCACCCCTGATGCCCTGTGGTACCTTCTCATGCTACAAGCCTACAGATAGGTCTCTCTGGGACCCACTTTTACAAGTGAAACCCTGGTTAAATCAAATGAACGTTCGGCCCTCTGTGCCTGAGTTTGATGTGTACGTGATATAATTAGGCAATGATGCTATTTGATGAAACAGCAGAAACCTTTACAAGTTTATAGATGAAGTCTGTAACTGCAGGCACATGGGCTCTATCTACTCCAATAACAGATCACTGTCACCAAGAACTGCTTTATAACTCCACAAAGACTGTATGACATTCAAATTTCACAGCTACAAGCAAAAGGGCAAACATATTGATCATCTTTCATCTGTTGAAACATCCACATTATGAAAGAAGACGCAGTCAAGCTAACCCATCCTCCACCACCTCAGGCTCCCAGCTTCACGTGCATCTGAAACAGCAAACATGCCCCAACTCCCAGGGCCGCTGGCCACGGGTACCTGCACAGTGGGGCTGAGCACGATGGAGATGTTCTGTATGTTCATCTTCGTTTCCAGTTCCTTGGCAATGACGTGGTCCATGTGAACAATGAGCCAGGAAATGAGAAGGTAGTTACATTCCGGCAGTTCCTGGAGCAAGCGCTGGAACTCCTGCACTTTCTCGGTCTCCGTGGCCCTCCCGCAGGCCTCTTCGAATCGGGGCATCAGCTCTTTGGTAAGCAAATTCTCTGGCAGGTCTCGCAGGTACTGCTTCAGCAAGCTGGCGACAGTGTTGGGCTCGTATTCTTCCAAATTTGGAGACTCCTCTCGGTCGTAGGCTGCTTTTAGTTCATCCACCTTTGATTTAATTCCTTAAACCATTCAAATTCAGAAGAAAGAATACTGAGGGGAAAAAATCAAACACAAAGGCTTTCTTCTCTAGGACACCCCACCCCCATCTTGCTGGGCAGATCAAGAGCTGCCACTGGCCACTAGCAGAACTCTTGACATGAACAACACACCTGCCCGAGGGCCACACAGTTATCCTGTAGACACAATCGTAAGAAAGACTGCACTTCAGCCAGGTGTTGACACACCTGGAACCCCAGTTACTGGAAGCTGAGGCATGGGGGTCATGACTTTGAGGCCAGTCTCAGCAACTGGGCCAGACCTTGTGTTGAAAAAATAAAAACGCACTGAAGCTGTAGTCCGATGGCTGAGTGCCCCTAGGTTCAATTCCTAGCATTAAACTAACTAAATAGAAGATTACCCTTCAAGGGTGAACTTAATCACAACCTAAGTGATAACTGAAAATTTTAACATTCAGAGCAACTGCAAATATGTTAAGTAAATATGCCAACAGATTCAAGAAGAAAAAGAAATTTTAGAAGAATTAAACTACAACCCAAGCGTAAGTCTTACCCTCACAGCCAAATGTTTTCTCTTCAGTCATAAGACTGAAACATAAAATGTAACTTTGTTTACCTAAATGTCCAATAGTTGTAGGTAGGCTTACTCTTTTAAAAGTAAAAATTTTACTATAAGTTTAACTGTAAACTCTTTAAAAACTATTCTCTATTAAGTAATCCCCTAATTCCTGTATAGTTTCTACTTTAAAGTATAAATTCTTTTTATTTTTGTTTTCAGGGGAGGGCGGGTGTACCAAGGATTGAACTCAGGGGCACTTGACCACTGAGCCACATCGCCAGCCCTATTTTGTATTTTATTTAGAGACAGGGTCTCACTGAGATGCTTTTTTGCTGAGGCTGGCTTTGAACTTGCAATCCTCAGCCTCCCAAGCCACTGGGATTACAGGTGTGTACCACTGCGTTCATCTTAAAGTGTAAATTCTTAAGTATCCCCGCTCCCTACATTTTTGCAGTACCAGTGAACCTGGAGACACTTTTCTACTAGCTACATCTCCAGTCCTTTAAGTGTTTATATAACGTAAACAGAGCTGGAACTCAAAATAAAATGAACTTTGGGCTTCTAAAATCAAATCATTTGCTTTCTTATTGAACAGAAAGAAACTACATAAACTAAATATTTTTCAAACATTATATCAGCTTTTCAGTCTTTATGAAATCCACCTGTACTGTGACATGATCCAGTAACAACACTGATCCCAAAGAGCACAAAGTAGGTTTGTGCTTTTTGTTTTGTTTTGTTTTTTTAGTTTTGACGGACCTTTATTTTTTATTTTTACATGGTGCTGAGAATTGAATCCAGTGCCTCACATATGCTAAGCAAGTGCTCTACCACTGAGCCACAACCCCAGCCCCAGTTTGTGCTGGTTTTTTGTTGTGCTGTTCTAGTTAGTTATACATGTTGTACTGTTTTTAATACTTAAATTTTAGGCCAATGGTTCAAACGAGCCATCTAATCTGAAAGCATCTATAACCCACACAGTGCTTGCATTTGTGCTCTGGCACTTCTTAACTTTTGTAAAAACTTTTAATGGCTTTAAAATAAATCTGTAACTTATCCAGAATCACAAACGGCACCATATATAAAAATAGCAATGTGGATCTTATTTTTGCATAATCTTTGAGACAAAAAGTTAGAAAATAATTCCTATTTTCTTACTTTGATGACAATATGAGTAAAACAGGATGAGCAACTAACTGTGAGTTCTGTCAAAGACCTCCTCTCTCCTTTTATGTGATATGTATGTGTATATATAAAACCCCCAACAGTACTGACCCCGCAAACCACCTAGGTACCCTTAGAAAGGAAGACCTCCCTGTTCCGGATAGGCAGAGTCCATACTGTTAAAATGACCATACTACCAAACGTGCTGTAAGATTCAAAGCAACTCCCCGTCAAATACCAAGACAGTCCAGCACACAGGCACAGGAAGGACTTTCTAGATAGAAACCCTAAATCTCAGGAAATGATGCTGAGAACTAATAAATGGGATACCATCAACTTAAAAAGCTCCTGCACAACAACAACAAAACAATTAGCAATGTGAAGAGAGAACCTACAGAATGAGAGAAAATCTTTGCTAGCTGCTCTTCTGACAAAGGATTAAAATCTAGAATATATACAGAGCCCAAAAAACTTCACTTCAAAAAATATAACTTAATTAATAAATGGGCAAATGAAGCAGACACAATTCAGAAGAAGAAATACAAATGGCCAACAAAAAGAGTTTAAAAATGTTCCACATTATTAGCAATCAGGGAAATTCAAATCAAAACTACACCAATATTTCATCTCACTCTAGTCAGAATGGCAACTGTCAAGAATACAAACAATAATAAATGCTGGAGAGGGTGTGGAAAAACAGGAACACTCCACACTGCTGGCGGACTGTACACTAGGACAACTACCATGGAAATCCTCAGTAGACCAGGCATGGATCATCACAGGACCTAGCTATGCCACTCCTTAGTATTTATGCTGAAGAAATAAAATCATCCTTTCTTTTGGTACCAGAGACTGAACTCAGGGGCACTCACTGAGCCACATCTCCAGCCCTAGTTTGTATTTTTATTTAGAGACAGGGTCTCACTGAGTTGCTTAGCACCTTGCTATTGCTGAGGCTGGTCTGAAATCATGATCCTCCTGCCTCAGCCTCCCGAGCTGCTGGGGTTACAGGTGTGTGCCACCATGCCCGGCTGAAGTCACCTTACTATAGAGATACATGCACACCCATGTTCACAGCAGCCCAGTTCACAAACAGCTCAACTATGGAACCAGTCTATATGTCTGTCAATGAATGAATGGATAAAGAAAATGTGGTATATATGCACAATGGAGTTTTATTTACATAAAGAAAAACGACCACACACCCCACCATCAGGTACGAGCATAATGTACCAATAAAAATACGGGCAAAATGTTTTCCCTTTAAAAACTGGACATTCAAATAAAGAGTACCTGGGAGAGAAAGATTACACAGATACAGTAAAATGTAGATAAGTAAATTAAAAACATAAAATTGCTTCAATTGTCTTTCACATTGGTTTTAAAGTTGGGAATGATATATGAGTGAGGACCAAATAATCCCCAGCAAAAAATATTAATGGCATTGAAAAAGGAAAGTCCCTAGCACCCACCACACCACAGCAGGCTGTGCTGACGGTACTGTCCAGGGAGCACTTGGCCCAGGAGGAGACCAGGGAGACAGCTCAGTTTGAATGCTTTCAGAAGAGAGAGAACCTGCCACTCTGACTCCCCAGGAAAACACGCAAAACAAAAACATCAAAAACAGGTCAGAGAAAAAAAAGAGTCCTTTGAACAAATCCCAGAAACTCTTCAGAGAAACTTTCACCTAATACCAAAATTTTTCATGCCTATCAAGGTGATATAAGGAAAGCAGCTTGTATTATTACTGCTTAAATCTTTAAAAACACAATTTGTCATATATTATTCTTGGGGTTTTTAAATTTTTTTCTTTAGTTATACATGCACACAAGATCTTTATTTTGTTTTTTTATTTTTATGTGGTGTTGAGGATCAAAACCCAGTGCCTCACTTATGCAAGGCAAGCACTCTGCCACTGAGCCCCAGCCCCAGCCCCATACACTATTCTTTAAAAAATCAAAATTGCAAATATGTTTAAGTGTTAATTCTAGATAATATTAAGGAAGTATCAATTCAAATTCATTTCTTGATTGACTTTGTTTTCTATAAAATAGTAGCTCAACTACTCTTTTTAATTTTTTTTTTTTTTTTTTAGTTGTAGATGAACACAATACCCTTATTTTATTTTTGTGTGGTGCTGAGGATGGAACCTGCCCCAAGTACCCTACCACTGAGCTACAGCTGCAGCCCCGTAGACCAACTACTCTTACCGTGTTAAATATTCAAGGACAAGTTATCTATTAGATTGTGTAAAGATTTTCCTAAGTATCAAAAATATCTGCCCCTTCTCAACAAACTTAAGTATTAAATCTACCTGCTGCAAATGTGTCAGAACCCAGTAAGTGGAAAGCTTCTTAAGCTCTGCAGATGTCCCCAGTGCACATGACTTAACTCACAAAAACATGTGACCAACAACTGATTTCATAAAATAACTCTCTGAACAGAAGTGGGTGATGCTGGAGGTGAGTCATGGAGCTGAGGGACACAGATGCCTCCAGCTCAGAACTTCACCCAGAGCAGCATGGTGTCTATTTTGGAAGAAAGAAACCTGTTTACTTTTAAATAAGATACCATTTGCTTGATTTTAGACACCAAATATAAAATAAATTTGTGCCAACTATGAAACAAGTTTTCATACACACTGGATGTAGATAAATGGAAAACCCTCTTCAGTGATCCACGTACTAGCTGCAGGGGGCTAGCGGCAGCATTTGCACCTGGGGCCCAAGCATTCAGTCAAACTCAAAAGCCATAGTGCAAGGCTGTCGGAGCTTCCTTCACTGCCCACCCCTCACTGCAGGCCCTCCCACCACTGAGCTTCACGCAGCCCAGAGGGCAGAAGGGAGAGCAAGCAGGCTCTGAGCACAGCCCTGCTGGACGATGCTCCCCAAATGCTTCCCTCCATCCTGTCCCTGCTGCTGTGAGCTACGAACAACTCAGGTGCAAATGCTTACAAAAACAGACTGTCAGACAAAGAGGTGGTGGCGGCTGCAACTGCAAGGGCCAGGGAGACGCTCGGGCTGCGGCACAGGCCACAGCGCTCCCTACAGGCTGGAGACAGCAGCTCAGGTCCACAGCCCAGCAGCGAGGCGCGCCCCATACCTGACACTCTGTAGATGCCCTCGCACTTCATGCCGTGCTTCTCCACATGGTCCACACACTCGCGGAACACAGCCGGCAGGCGGACGCCGTCACACATCATGGTCCTCTCCACCGCAGCAGCCAGAGGGATCCCAAAGACAGGCCTGAGGCTGGGTGCATCCACCTGAGGCACCTCCGGCTCCTGGATGGGCTTCTTCTTTTTCTTCTTTTCCTTCCACTGTTTGACAACGTCAGCTGCCGTCAAGTCCTTTGACTTCTTCTCCTTATGCTTTTCTTCTTTGTGCTTTTCTTCTTTATGCTTTTCTTCTTTGGGTTTCTCTTTTATTTTAAAATCCTTCTCCTTCTTTTTAGAAAAGCTGGGCTTCTTGAAAACATGAATTCCCTTGGACCTCTTCATTTTGGAAGGGCTTTCAGCTTCATCTCCAGAACTATCTTCCTGAAAGGCAGCATAGCCTTCAGCTGCCAAAGAAACGCAGGGAGTGTGAGTTACGCGTGTGCTCAGTGTCAAAGTGGCCATCTGCTTTCTGAAAAGAGCACAGCTGCAGAGGTGCCCAGGCGCCAGCTCTCTGGCTTTCCTCCTCAGCCCTGCAAATGCAGGCTTTGTGCTCAGCTAGCTGCAAGGAATGGCAGTGCCCCTGCCAGCCACATGAGGGCAACAGGCAGAGCACAGGCCTTGGCCCTACAGTGCAGGCGTGTGAGTGGGGTGCTGGAGGTCCACACTGAGGACAAACACAATGGGCCCTGCAGCAGAGTGTCCTCTCTCCCGGTGACCCTGCTCTCCACCCAGGCTCCTCAGCTGGGCTTTCAATGCAGTCTCAAGGCACCACAGAAACCGCTCTGATGGTTCCTGACAGGCTTGGCTCTCCTGTCACCAGCTACTGGGCTCTTTCTGCTGACTGGGGCAGAGACCACAGCCACCTCTTGGGAAGACTGCTCCAAGAGGTTCTCCCCCTCTTGGATGGTGGCCAATGTGTCACCCCTTTGCTGGCAGAGTAGCTTTGCTCTCTCACACTGACCTAGAGCCCCATGGCCTTAACACCAGGTCACAATTAGCTTTTGTGTTTTGACTGTTTTTGAGACAGGGCCTGCTCTGCTGCCAGGCTAGCCCCAAACTCCTCGGCTTAGTGACATTGCACCTCCTCCTCACAGCCCGTGGCTTCTGTTTTAATGTCTCTAACTCTCCCATTCCTTTTCTTAGCTAGCTATAAGCTACTTTATAATAAAATCAAAGGTATTTCATAAGCTACCATCTAACTAAAATACCATGAATCCTACACTAACCAGGTGGCAAAAATCTTAAGGACAAAATACCATGACGTAAAGCAAGAAGAACTGTCATGCACTGCTGTCAGGAATGTGAACTGGTTTGACCACCTGGAAAGCTGTTCTTTGGGATCTCCTGGAGCTGCAAGACTCAAGGCCTAGAGTGTGCATTTCCATGCCCAGGCACACACAGCAAAAATGCATAAACCCACTCACCAAAAGACAGGCATGAGGGGCTGGGGCTGGGGATCAGTGGCAGAGCGCTTACCTAGCATGCATGAGACACTGGGTTCCATCCTCAGCACCACATACAAATAAACAAATAAAATAAAGGCATTCCATCCATCTACAACATCAATAAATAAATAATAAGGGGAAAAAAGGTAGGACTGCAGGGAAGTGCTCCTCACAACAGTTGAAAAATGAAAGTAGCTAATGATAATGCAGCAAAGCGGGTACATCGATCCTAGTGTGTGAACACAGTGAAACACTGTCCGGCCACAGAGGTGCACAGTCACTGCTGGGAGCAAGGAACAGGAATGGGCGGAAGAGACAGCCGAAGAGGGGGCAGGCCCCCACCGAGCCAGGTGTGACATCAGCCGGTTGTCTCTTGAGGCCCTGGGGCTAGGAGCTGACCTGCTCCTCAGTCTGCAGTGCTGAGACGCGCACTAGGCCTGCTCCACAGGGCAACCAACACCATGAGATCCAAAATAAATACTGAACTTAAACCAACTCACCTCACCTGCCTTTAAAACACCCAAGAGGGCTGCATCCTCCCAGTGAATGGGAGCCTCAGAAGGTTGTGGCACTGGCCTATGACAAGGAGTAACTACCTTTTTCAGTTCCAACCAAAGTGTACCCCAAATGCCCACAAAACCTACTGAGAATGCAAGGCTCTCTCAGCCAAAATTCCAGTGTCTGTTTTTTTAAAATATTTTTTTAGTTATACAGACACAATATCTTTGTTTATTTATTTTTATGCGGTGCTGAGGATTGAACTCAGTGCCTCACATGTGTGAGACAAGCGCTCTGCCACTGAGCCACAACCCAGCCCTCTTTTTATATATTTTAAAAGATGTCCACTAGAAAACTTTTACCGTATTTGGAAATTTGGTAATTTGTGTGTCAAATTAAGACCCCAAAATACAACTTCAATAGGTGAAAACCGAGACCCTAAAAGCAAGAACGTGGGCCACGCCAGCCTGACTGTGGGCAGAGGGCACTCACTCCTCTTCTCCTTCTTCTTGAACTTTCCTTTCTTCTTGCCATGGTCCTTCTCATCCTCCGACGCCGCATCGGCGGGCTCGTGCAGGGCGTCATGGGGGGGCGAGGGCTCGCCCGTGCGGTACAGTCCAGGGAACTTTGTGGGGCTGATCTCCTCGGAGCTGGGCGTCCGGGTCAGCCCGCTGCCGTGCTCGGCCCTGCGGTGCTCGCTGGGGCTGCTGGTGGGGGGCAGGAAGCACTCGGTCATGCTGAGACCAGACAGGGAGGTGGCTTCTCCTCACCTGCCCATCACACCTGTGCAGAGAACAGAGGCATCAGTCTGACCATCCAACAGCCAAGGAGTGCAAGCAGTTCCCCCACAACTCCCCTTTAAAAACGCCTTCATTTTATTATCTCAAGTTCCCTTCTCACAGCTGAGCACGCTAGGACCTTCAAGTATCAGTAAAGTAAACCAACTGGAAATCAGAGTTGGGGTTCTCCAGGCAGAATCCACAGTTCCTTGAGGAAGAACTAGCTAATGTAAAGGGCCTCATTTTGACTGCTACGCACCATAAAACCTCACTGAATAATAAATTAGACTACTTACGTAACTACATATGAACAGCTCACATCATTAAAATTTACAATGCTTCAATGACAGACTGAAGGAGTCACACAATCACAGGTCACTGACTGTGACTGCCCACTGCATGCGATTAGACAAGCCTGTGTTTCTAAGAGCCGTTGTATTTTGTGCGGCAGTTACACTTAAGCAAAGGAGCCCTTACTGATCGACCCTAAAACACACACAAGTTTCACTACAGCAGATACCACCAAAGGACAAACAAGAAGAGTTCAAAATTTGGTTGCTTTGTTTTCTTCTTTAGACACAGAGTAGTCAAAGTGCCAAGTTTAAAAGCTACTTAGATTAATTAGTTCTTCCTCCTTTTTGACATTATTATGATACTAAGCTGAGGTTATTTTGCAGTTTTAAAACTCCATAAGCCGTAAGTGAAATATCTGGTAAATCTGACCCTGTAGTCAAAAAGACCTTAAGGTTAAAAGGCAAGCAAATATCAAAAACGTCTGTCAACTGAGATAGGAAATTTCTTTAAAAAGCAAAGAGTTCTTACAAATGAATGAAAATAGAAATAAACCAAGAGAACTAGACAATGTGAATAGGCAATTCATCAAAAACTTATTCACAGTTCACAAATATACAATGAAAACAATGTTAAACTTCAATGATAATTTTAAGAATGAGAGCTACTTTTCTATTATTAGACTGGCAATGTTTGTGGCAGGGTCTCACTAAGTTGCCCAGGCTAGTCTCCAACTTGCAACCCTGCTGCGACCAGCCTCCTGAGTCGAGCAGGGGCAAGCACCACAGTGCCTGGCTCAATCCTTGTGTTCTCCTTGATGGGCCCTGTCTTTTGGCTATCACTTTTTTGGCAGGGGGTACCGGGGTTGGAACTCAGGGGAACTCGGCCATTGAGCCACATCCCCAGCCCTATTTTTTTGTATTTTATGTTCAGATAGGTTCTCACTGAGTTGCTTAGCGCCTTTTTACTGAGGTTGGCTTTAACCTTGTGATCCTCCTGTCTTAGGCTTGAGCTCCTGGGATTACAGGCGTGTACCATGCACTCAGCTGGTTATCACTTTTGAAAGTGCACCCTATCTTTCCACTAATCCAAGGTACCTTAAGTTTAGGCAAACACAGGACTCAGGAATTCAGAGGGAGGTACAGTTCAATCAGACAAGTGATTACATCTCACGGATAAGGAAATAGTCCCAGCATCCATGGAGGCTGACACACAGCTTGTGGGAAAGAGCACAGCTTCCTGTCAGACACACAGCCCTGCTGCACCCGGCCATGCTCTCAACTGTGCTGCACGGCTAAGTCACTCCGTGCTCCACGTCAGGCCTGCGACAGGCAGGAACCTTCTGGATGGTGGAGAACACTCGTGGCTTCGACAATGGCTACATAATTTGTACATTTACTAAAATCCACGCAACTCTTCACTTCAAGTAGATGGATTTCTTGGGATATAAACTGTTACCCAACAAAGCTGCTTAAAAATAAAAGATCAAGCACCAGCAACCCTGGCCCCAGGAGCCCTTCCTGTGATTCGACCCACTCAGCACAGGTTGTAGGGGCTGCCCCTTGTGGGGCCAGGACGCTCTCAGCAGACCTACACCACGGCACTGACTGCACCCCATCTTCATCTGAACACACGCCCACTGGGCCCATCTGAGTCCCACACTTAACCCAACCCATGGCAATGCTTGAGGGCTTGTTTAATAAACTAACAGAACCTCCTCTGTTCTCAGCAAATGTACTGCCAAGACAAAGATCAGAAAGAATGAGTCTCACGGTTGGCCTTAAATTTCAATTCAGGATACAGATCCAAATTTTATAGGAGTTCCTAAAGTTTCCAGAACTTTCCTAAATTAACCTTAGTACAGCTTGTAAGAAAATTGGTACTTTTCCCCCTTTCCACAGAAATCAAGGCTCAGAAAGCTTAAGTAGCGTATCTAAAAAAAATCACAGAGCAAGAGGTAAGGATGGGAGCCACTTGACTCAAAAAATCTCTTCCCGGGACTGGGGATGTGGCTCAAGTGGTAGCGCGCTCACCTGGCATGCGTGCGGCCCGGGTTCGATCCTCAGCACCACATACAAAGAAAGATGTTGTGTCCGCCAAAAACTAAAAAATAAATATTAAAAAATTCTCTCTCTCTCTTTCTTAAAAAAAAAAAAAAAAACCTCTTCCCACCACACTGCCCTCAGGAGGACACTGCAGGGAAGAGTATGGGGCAGGGTGTTAGATATTGTGGGTAGCCCTGTGGGCGTGGGCCCTGGGCAAAGGCAGGAGACCGGCTTAACAGCAGCAGCACTGCCAATGCACCCTGGGAAGGGCGTCGGGAGACAAGGAGGGCTGGGCAGGACAAGGAGCTATGGTGGGGGTTGTCACCACCTGCAGAGTTGGCCAGTGATGAGGCCACCGTGAGGAGGAGGGCAGGGTGCTGGCAGCAGCACCAGACAGCTGCTGCTCACTCCTGCTCCTGGGGCACTGGCAAGTCCTCCTGGTGCACTACCCTCCTTATGCATCTCCCTTACTAGATGGACAAAGAACATTTTGATCATAAAGCATTTAACAGACTATGTTGTAAGATCTACTCAGAATCAGTAGTTGCTGATTTGTGCTATGGACTGTGTCTCCCCCAACCCCAAGTTAAAACGTAATCCCAAGGGTGATGTATTAGAGGCAGGGCCTCTTGGAGGTGACTAGTCACGAGGGTGGGGCCCTCATGAACACATTAGTGTCCTGGCCAGGGGCTGAAGAGACCAGGGCTTGCTGCTTCCACCCCAGGGTACGCAGGTGGAGCAGAGAGCTGGCCTTCCCAGCCTCTAGAGCAATGCAATGCCGCCCTCAGTGCTGTTCCAGAAATCTGAAGGGACTGAGAGGACCTAATCACCACAGAGCTGGGGCAGCTGCAGCAGCCCTGAGGGCCAGGGCCAGCAGGCAGGTGATCAAGCAGGAAGGAAAAAGCAGCGTGTTCAAATGAGGACAAGGGTGCAGAGTAACCTGGGGGGTAGGGACACCACAAGCCTGAACGCCATGGAAGCAAAAGACTCCAAATGGCCAATGGAAAATTCAAGTATAAACATCCAGAGGTAAGGAAATACCAAAACCCAGAAATTCCTATTTTTGTGGTAAGAGATAATTTGGTATACATTTTTAAAAATTTAAATAAACCATAGTTATCCCTACTCCTCCTGATAAATATAACTAAAAACCCTAGGTATCAGATTTTTTAAAAGAAGATGCCAGGTGTGGTGGCAGACACCTGTAACACCACAGCCCGTGTAACACACAGCTAGCTACTCAGGAGGCTGAGCAGGATGTTGGAAGTTCAAGGCCAGCCTGGGCAACTTAGCAAGACCCTGTCTCAAAAAACTTTAAAAAGAAATTTGAAAGGAGGCTGAGGACGCAGCTCAATGTACAGTGCTTGCCTAGCATGTGTGAAGGCCTGGGTTCAATCACAGCGCCAGGAAAAACCGCTGGGAACTCAGCATCTCCCGAGGCACCTCTCCTGCCTCTCAGGGTCTTGCGTGCATTTAGCAGTGCTGGGGATGGACCTCTGGGCTCCTATGGGCCAGGCAAGTGCTCTGTCACGGAGCTCTGTCCCTGGGCCCTGAGGTCCTCTGGCCTCACATCACAGAGGTGAAGCAATGATGCTGGAAACGCTAAAGCTACAAGGACTCTGTGTGGTGCCAAAGCCCACATGACACACAGACGCATCCTGGAAACAAAATGGGGAACCCAAGAAACACTCCAGGTGTAGAGCTAACTGGTTTTCAATAAGACTCCTCCATGCTGGATGGGGAGGGGAAGCCCTCTGGATGGTGCTGGACACACACAGACAATAATGTGACTCAATTCCTTGCATCAAGTCACACACAATACAATTCATGACAAATCACAGACCTAAAATGTAAAGACTAACAACTATAAAACTTCTAAAACACATTTTTGAGGTAAAAATTTCCTGGAGAGTACCAGAACACCATAATGATATTATCAAGAACACCATAATGATATTATCAATAAAAACTGGACTTCTCGTCAAGACGCTACTATGAAAATGAATGGCCAGGCCAAGACGTGCGTCTAGACACAAGTACAGTCAGCCCTCCAAGTCCAGGGGCTCTGCTTCCCTGGAGCCAACCACACATTAAAAACCCGTGGAAGGAAACCCATGTGTACCGGGCATGTGCAGACCCTCCCTGCCATCAGGCCCCAGGCCACACAGGCATTCACATGGTGTCTGCACATATCAGGTGCTCTGAGCAGTCTGGAGAGGATTTACATTACATGGAAGGATGTATATAAGTTGTATGCAATAATATGCCATTTCTTTTATAAGGGACTGGAGTATCCATGGGTTTTTGGTACCCACAGGGATCTTGGACACAACATCCAAGGGAAGCAATCCCCTGTGGATAATGAGGAACAGCTCTGTATATGTGTGTGTATCAAAGGATATTATTTAAAATTACAGATGTCCTTCAACTCAAAAAAGAAAGAGACATTCTGTGTTAGCTTTCCATCACTATAACAAACATCGAGAAGAATCAACCTTAGCGGGGCTGGAGTTGTAGCTCAGTGGCAGAGCGCTTGCCTTGCATATGTGAGGCACTGGGTTCGATCCTCCGCATCACATAAACATAAATAAACAAAATAAAGGTATTGTGTCCACCTACAGCTAAGAAAAAAATATATGTATATAAGAAGAATCAACCTTAGAGAAAA